AATTGAATAGGTTATTGAGACATTGCCAATTGGACCAACATCTTATGAGCTAAAATTTAACAATTTAGATTTGCTCAATTTGGAAATAAAATTATTGACGTTTGATGACAAGCCAATTAATTATTTAAGTATATTATTAATTAATTTGTATCGTTAGATAGGTATAATTCAATTATATTTTACTGGCCCGCCTCAGTGTAAAACAAACCCTCAGGCTGTGACCGTCACTCACTTCCCTTGCTTCAGCCCATCAAATACTTAAACTATTGCAACTCACAGCGCCTTAAAAGCTTCGCAAAGTTCAAAAACCGTTGAACCGTAAAAACCACAAAAAACCGGATCGCGCCACACACAACCGGTATTGTGGGCTAGCGACATGAATCAACGAATCATTATAAGTAAATAGTCATATTTATTTAAGGTCTTAATAAGTATGTACGATCAGCTAATTTAATTACTGACCCACCATAAGCATATTTCCTTACATCCATTGCATAACCATAAGGTAGAAATTTGCTTGAATATAAGTATCTAATTAAAGTAACTATAGATACAGATCTATAGTTGTTATTTTTAGAACAATCTTAATTGGAATGACAGATTTTGCCGTTTACATGTTGACGTTAGTTAATTAAAGTTTTGACCATAGATTTATGACTTCCCTTTTATTTTACCATTTTTTTTCTTAATTAAATAAAACAAGTTCCAACGGGTTAAATGCGTTTATTTATTTGTCCCTTGACGTTTCGCATCCTTTTCAGGCTGCGTCGTCGGAATTATGATTATTATTTTTTTACTTAATGTCAAAAAATCGAAAAAGTTTCCTACAAACACACTACAATTCGAATTATTTTTAAAAGATGATATCATAAAAGATAATTTAAAACAAAGGTCAAATTTTAAAAATCTTTGATCCACATTTATAGTTCCCTTGTAATAGGAAGGTTCTTTAAAGAAATTAACTTGTCTTTTTTCACCTTTTCAGGCGAATTGTAGGTCAATAACATATAATAATATATATAAATAACAGGTAAAAAAAGGGTAAGGAATCATTTTGTTAGATTGTACCTACATAATGAGTTAATTTATAATCATCCCAATTGCTTAACCTCACTCAGAAACTACAGTTATATTTTTAAGTTAATTTTAGTTGATGTCAGCACTATCATCTTTCCGATAGCAACACAACACATGACTTTGACAAGCATTTAATTGACGGCTCTGATTATTGCAACATGAATCAACGTATTGCATTAAATATCCAGAGCTAAATAAAGCAACATCTTCGCTATTGTTTGTGGACAACAACTTTGACAATAGAGCTATCAAATTCCAAAAGCGTAGTTATGATATCGCCTTACCTATTACAGATAACTAACTACATCAAGCAGCCAGCAGCATAAGAGCTTTACCATTTTTTGGTAGCTTAATGTGTTACTAACTTACAAATTGTATTCAGGTTTCATGGTATCGGACCTTCGATGCTCTACCATACCCGCAACTACCCTAAACCTGTCATACAGCCTCGTGTAATAAATATTGCAGCAGGCAAAAAAATCGCAGGCGTTCCATTATGCCTTAGGAATTCGTAAATCGATTCCTTTGCCTGTAAATGAATTAAAACGTGATCCGTTCGCGATAAGGCAACTAACCTACGACAACGCGTCTGTCGCAGCTTGTGTTTGTGTGTGTGTGCGTGTGTGCGTGCGTCAGCATTTCGTGGGTTCATTCACCCTGCCCAGTAGGGGAAGTTGGGAAGACAGCTGCCATAGAGTGGCCGTGGACAGGCACGTTAAAAATTTTATTTACCTAACATACAGTGTGAGGGCTGATTCTTACGTATATGTTTTAGAGAATTTTGTAAACAATCAGAAATTCATACGGCTAAAAACATTCTGTCAGCATTTTTTATTGCCAGACACTTTTAATGTCGAAAGCAAAAAAACACAAACTTGCTTATTTTCTGCAATAACTTATATAATTCGATAATAATAAATTATTTAATCTAATTTTATTCTTTTTACTTTTATTCTTTTTTTAACATTAATGTTGAGTAAGCAAATAGCATAACGTGAAAGTAAATATTGCAAAGTCTGCAAAATGATACTGATCATTTGCCATTTAACAACATTAATTTTAAAAAAAGCAATAAATAAAAACAACAGCGCGTTGCTAACTTGATTGTATTTATTAGACTTTTTCTGCCCGCTCAGTGCGTTAAAATGGATTTATTAGTAAGTAGTACAACAGTAATGAAATTCTATCTGCTTCATTATTTTAAAATAATAAATCACTTTAAGAATATATAATCAATTTATAGAATAAAAAATGATTTTACAGTATTATTGTAAAAGATGTTGGCGCTGTTTCACTAGCGTTATTTTGAGGGAAACCCAAAAATATACTTGATTCTACGTTTACTCAGCGCACGCAAAAAATAATATGTTTTCCAATATTTTTAATTGATGCTCCGCTTCTATTAGGCGAATATAGCCTAAAAACTTATTTGATAAATGGACTACCTATCCAACACCAAATATTTTTTTGAATTCGAACCAGTAGTTGCGCGTTCAACCAAACAAATCAGAATCTTTAGCTTTATAAATTAAAATAATAGATAATATATGCCTTTTCTAAATGTTACTTGCTTTTCGTTGTGTTGAGTTTGATGACATGTATTCAATTAGTAATTATGGAAGTATGTTGAGTTTATGAGCTTGTTTGCAAAGAAAATAGAATTTAGTACAAATCGGGCGTCTCCACGATTCGCCCTGTCCAATATTTAACCAAGTCGTCGGAGTTGCATTTTTGCGCGGCGCACAGCACGCAGCACGCACACGCGGTCGCGCGCTCTGCATCGCACCGGGCGGGCGCACGGTGACGCGCGTCGCCTCGCGTATCAAACTCGTATGCGTCCACCACGCATCTAATACGGGATGTGCTTAAAACACGTTTACTCTTCTATTCACTACCTCTGGCGTCCAAAAGGATTAATTGGTAACGCGGATTATAGGCCTATTGTGGCATGAAACCCTAATGCTAATTATGGACTCGGAATAATGTGCACATCATTATTCTGAGCTTATAGAGAATGAAAATAAGAGACTCTAAAGAATGGTCCCTACCATAGCGGATTTTCCGCTTGAATTGGAGCGCCTGTCTATGGAAGTAACCTCCACCGTACAGAAGACCACAGTTAAATAACAGTACACTACCTTTTGGTGCTATTTCTGTTGGTGACTAAGATTCCAGGGCTCCGGCGGGAGTGATATTCAAATGCCAAAGTCATTTGTTCGCACTTGGTCGGATTCGCAAAACGGCGGATTCTGATTTTGCCGGAATACAGATAAAAAAAAAATACTTACGAGAAAAACCCCAAGCTTTTTTCTTGGCCGCTTACCACCAGGCGGGCCATATGCTTATTTGCCATTCTTCTAACTTAAAAAAGTGTTTGTTTTACGTTGAGTGAATTTATTGATAGTGTATTACAGAGATAGTAGCTTCTCGAGAAGCTGTAAATTATATATATTCGAGAGAATATTACATACTTGCTTAAAACATGGTAAATTACTAAATTACAAACAGAGGGCTAGCACATTTGTAAACTTCTCTATGTTTTATCGAAAGCGGTTTAGGCAGAATACAAAAACAAACCAGACGAACGGATTGTATTACCGTGAATACCTTTTGAATTTGTAAGGATTCTAGTGTTGGTTGAACCTGCGAGTATGACATAAAATAATATAATGTTCACACATTATTCTGTATTCACATACAGAGTACCTAAGTAAGTACTTACCTACAGACAGACAGCAAACTGAGAGGTGTGAATTTCGCCGCAATTAGTACGTGCTAACTGGAAAACCTATGAGTGCCTGCCGGGTTCGACTGCCGAAGTCAAAGCATAGGCGGTTAGCGATTTCGCAAGTCGCTAGTTCGATAGTACGCTTGATACGTGTTTTTATAAATGTGTTAGTGGGACCAGGGGTAATATCACCTTTGCAAAATCTTCTACCAGTATCACATCATAAGACTAATACCGCGTAAATAAATTGGTAAATTTTCAAGATCGAAAATTTACTGTTTCGAGCAACTCAGTGCTTCGGAAGGCACTTGAAGTCGTTGGTCCCAGTGTTACTACACGCCAATCCTCACCTTTTTTTTAACTACGCAGGCAAAAAATACTATTTACAGACGACGGCGCCTTTAAGAGACACACCGCCGAACGGACCTTACACCTGGCTCAGAAGTGGCTGCCCACTAAGGACCCCGTAACCTTTACGGGCGCTTTACGGCATAACTACCTCTAAAAAACCCTGCGAATAAATACCCTCTAAGCTGCTTAGCGCGAAGCCGCGGGATCCCCGTTTAGGGATTCTTCCGGGTCACCGCCAATCCTCACCTGGCTAGCGTGCTGGGTTTTGTCCCCTTCTATGTACACCATCCATAGGAAAGCCCTGTAGTATAGTAGTGGATCCCCGCTACTGGGGCATAGGCCGGTGAGAGACTCGTAAGGGGGGTAATATAGCATCACTTTTCATTTTGATAAGTTGTTGTTAAAATTGTATTTTATCGCTACCATTGTTTTCCTTTGTAAGTTAAAGTTAATATTCGATGCACGAACACCGCTGCCTCCCATAACTAAATCCCAATATTTCGGGTCGGATAACCCCTATAAATTTGGAGCTCGCCCCCGTTACGGTTCTGAGCCATTATTGTATCGCGGCCCCAAATTAATGAATACCAACACATTTTTCAAGTAGTTTCCGTCGCTCTAGACTTGAAAATTTGCCAGAAATTTTTAATTATATATGTTTTAATAAAATGTTCTAAAAATACTTACAAAATTCCTGGGTTCGAACCTAACAGAGGATTATTTTATTTTATCATTATTTATTCAGCATCTTTAATTTTTTTCGATTCTTAATCTCTGTAGGTAGTCATTGACTTCATTGATTTGGTTTCATCAATAAGGTTAAGCTCTAAGCTCTCCAAATGAACTCAAACAAAAACTTATTCACTGTGATTAATTCAAAGACTTATGATTAATTCATGAAGTTAATGGTTTTATTACATTCTCTTTGCAACAATGTCATAATTGACTTATTTAGTGACATTTATAGTAATGAATAAACAAACTTTCATCAAAGTAACAGAAAATATAAAATGTACAATTAAAAATTACAATTAACTACGAGAATTCACTTATGGTTTTGTTAATTTATATAAGTAGGTCCTCAGCTATAGTTATTAAAATGTCTTCGAGAAAGGTGGAGGACGCTCATGTGAGAATGCTCGCACAACTCCTGGTGCAGTCAGGCCTGGACTGCGTCAAGACACCTCCAGCATCGACCGAGTCCTCATCTATGACAGAAGAGTTTGAGGAGCATGGTAAAGATCATGATGAGACTTGAATTAATCCCCATATTATCAGTAGTTTGGCACAATGTGTCGCCTTATAAGTTTTTTTTTCCAAAAGTGTGACTAAGCATATAATAATATTCGCAATCCCTGTAAAATAGCCACTCTACCCACCTTGAAGTTAAGTGTGAGTATAGATAACCATAATGGCAAGAAATTTTGCGGCAACGATACGTAACGCATTTCCATTTTCAATTTTCTACACCGTAGAACTCGCAACCTTATTATCTTTAAAGCTGATGCATTGGAAGAAGCTCAACTTGTTCCTGAAGGAGAAGAGGTAGAAGAAGAACAAGTACCAATAATCGTTGAAGAGTTGCAAGAGGAAATGCCCGAGATATTTCCGACGCCGTCATTACGGCGACTCATACCAGATAAAACTAGAAAACTTGAGGAGCAAAATAGAATCCACGTTTTACCAGATGAATTCAAAACTGACATAGACCCTAGTGCAATACCAAAGATATCTAAGACTGCTCCGAAGAAGTATATTGATATGCTCGCAGATATAGTCGGCTGTAAGGAGTACAAGAGTAGTCTGGCAGAGTTTTGGTTCTTAGACACCTTGGCCAATTTGTTGAGGAGAGCGCAGGAAGATAAGTTGGATAGGCGTATGTATATTCTGTATCTACATTTCTATATCTAAAACCGCCATTAACATATTGGCTGAGCTTAACCCAATACGAACGTAGGCAAACTAATACAAGGCAAGTGCTACCGTCTAGACGTTGGACAAGTTTGAACAAGACCAATAGTAATAGTAGTGTAAATTGGTGCTGTTTGGCAGAATTGCCAGGTCTTTCCCATTTTTTCATATGTTGGCGAGCGATAGCGAGTGCCCGCAAGCAACGCCATATGAGGTCTTTACAGGAGGTGGCGCTTCACTTTGATTGGCAAATTAGACAAGCGATACCGAAGGCAAGATAAATACGCTGTCTATACGTTAGTATTGCCCTTCGCTTAGCTAACATGTTTATGCGGGTTTACAAGGTGCGACAAATACATTATTAGTCCCACCCCACCTGAGTTCAGTCGCTGGGATTGCTGATGCGGCAGAAAAATATGCCGTCACCCAACCCTACTTTTCTTCGCTAATTATTTTAGAACGATTTCTTTCACTATCATATACCACGTTTTTAGCGATTCAAGCAGTCCTCATATTGTGGTTCTGCGAGTGGATTAAGGAGATACAGAACTTTGATGCCGCAGACCGGGAGAGAATGATGAAGAGATTTCAGGTGACTGCGATATTTTTTCATTGCCTTTTTAAGAGTAGACAGTGTTATGTGTAGAAGATGGCAAACAAGCAATATGATATTTCTGTTTGATGATAAGCGGCTGACATAGCATACAGACACTTGCGATACCAGGACATGAGTAAAGAAGACATAGAGGCAAAGCTTCATGCAATGTACGTGTGTGTGTTACTGCTACTGCCGCCAGTGCTTACTCGCACACGCGCAATTGTATGAAGCTTTGTCTTTTTGCCTTATTTACTTACCTATGTGATACCAGAGAGAAGAAAAGGGACCACGTATACCTCGCGAGGTGTCTACTCAGCGGCATATTTACCTTAGAACTAAGAAGGCCATGGCCCGGGGCAGCAAACTGCGAGGGGCGGCTGCAATATAAGAGGCAATTGTTACTCACCTATATTTTGATTTGATTGACTAATTTAAGTGGCTTAGGCCACCAGATCGCAAATACGCTCCTGTCTACTGGCTATACTGTTTACACATATCCTACCTATCTCGAGGAGCTCGTAATTTAGTGCCGTAAATGAGGGAGAATTGTAGGCCCCCGGGTGATAAATAAATTTCCCTTACTTATTAATTATTGTGTTCTCGTAGTAAATGCGCCTGTCGTCTGATTCCGGCATGTTTCTCTAAACTTAATACTAAATTTGACAACAGTTCACAACAGTAGTTTGACCTTTAATGTCAAACTATAAAAAAACAGTCTCTATTTGAAGTTAACAATCGCTTTTAGGACAACATGCTTTGCACAGCCAGATTCATAGGAGAACAGGAGCACATACCGACTCCTGCGCAGGCAGGCGTTTACTACAAGGCGCCGGAAGAAACATCAGGCAGGTGTCTGACTAAATAAATAAATACCACTCCCTAAAGAAAATATTACTAGAAAAAAGTTCACGCGTTCCAGAAAGCTAACGGGACTCGAACCAGCACCCTCCGCTATCCGAGCGGATGCATTGACCAATTATGCTACTCGCGATAGTGGCCTTAATGATCGTGTTGAATTTATTCTAGTAGGTATTTCGTAGGCTATAAGGCAGCGTCAACTCTTCGCATTGTAGATAACCACAACGCCAAACAAGTACTTTTACAAGTATTGAACATTTGGAATAAGAAATAGCAAAAAATTTTGTTTATTATATTTTTAAGCATTTAATTGCTAGTTGTTTATATCTTCCTGGACCACGTGGATATTTTTCAAGTAAATTAACCATAGAGAGACCATAGTTACGTAGAATAAACTTATCGTTTCAACTGACTTGACTTCGGTACTCTGATATTTTAAGAATGAAATAGTTTTAAAAACTGGCAAAGTATTGAATACAAGAACCATTTATGCAGCACTGAGCCGTATTAATAAACAACTTAGCACCTACTAAACGTTTAATACTTTACAATTCAGGTATTGTAAAATACTGCGCAAAATTAAATATACTATACTTAAATTGTTGATCGAAAATCTAATATCCGAAGTCAGGTTAGAACCACTGACCACTTGTTTCGACCCCAAAACCATGTTCGACTTCCTGTCTCTTATATATGTATTAAATGATGAAATTACGGATACCTTGGTACTAATATTATTCGATTTTCGTTTCATCGACTCGTCACTCAACTGGCCTTAGGGTAGAGCGACGGAGCTGCTCTAAGTGTCAGTAAGTAAATGGTGCTCAAAATCCAAATAGCTGGTGGCAAGCGTGATCTATCTGCAATAAACGTAGAAGATAAGCAATATTTTCACAATGGCCTGTCATCGAACTTTAAGCGGTTGGTCACGGCTGCATCCGCGTTGATCCCAGCCGTATCGTTAAGTTAGTACCCATCAATCCGCATTAGGTCCGTGTGTTGGTTCATGGCCCATTCTTATTATCCCATTCATAAGAATACCTGTGCGCCTAGAAGTGGAGACATTAATATGCTAGTTATGATGTATAGGTAAATAGGCAGTTGTCCAAAGAATATTGCCTATTGTGTGTCACAAATTTTAGGGTTGTTTTAAGTGCATTTGCGCATCCATTATAGGGAAACGGAAGCGTAGGTAACGGAAACGTTGCGTGTACGCGACTTTTTCGCTGTGCACCCTTAGCGAGTTCGCTGCTCACTCGCTCCGCCTGAAAAACAGTCAGTGTGATTAAGGCCCTTATTGCCCCACATGGCTATTTGTACATTTAATAACAGACCTTATATAAGAAATAAAAATTAGAGAATGCTGTCAAGTTTACAAATAGCAAATACGAATAGCCATGAGAAGTACCGGCATAATGGCAGGCGTCCAAGACACAAAGACCACAGCTACCGCCACCGCTGTGGAGTCCAAGCATCTGGTCACCTTCGTAGGGACAGCTTACGAGTGCGTCTTGCGGGATCTCACCAAGATCATACATTACATCTTCGACTTGTGAGTTTCATTACTTTACTTTATGGATGACCAAAAAAATTGCAACCACCAGCTATTAAATACTTCGTCAGACACGTTGGTCCCGTTGCAGTGCATACAACAGATCCACACTGGGCTTGCCTGGTGGGTTAATCCACAGAACACAGAAAGAGGTTTTATCCCAGGTATCAAAATGACGTCGACGAAAACTCCTTAAGTATCGCGCACATTATCTCGGGCCGCATCGAAGCGCAAAATGCTAACTATTCAAAAGCACATAGTGACGGGCTTGGTCGCAGCGCATTAACTGATTTTGGGTAAAGTGTACTGACTGCCAGACGTCCGTGCATTTTTGCCTGTATAGCTATTTGTATCCATGAACTTCTCTTCAGGGCACATCACTGGAGCTAGAGAGCAACATCACCATGCTCGGTATGGAAATTCGCTGTGACTTGGATTCAATGAATTATATGGAAAGCGTAATAAAAACGGCCTAACGCAAACTCGCGAGTCCTGAACAAGTTGCGGCGTTTGTTCACGCCTGAGCAACTGTGCCTGTTGTACAAGATGCAGGTGCGATCTTGCGTGTAATATTGCTCGGACCTCTGGGATGGCTCCACCAAGTACTTGCTCGATGCTTTAAGTAGGTTACAGCGGCGCGCGTTCCGCATCATAGGCGAAGAGGAGGTGACTAAACAACAAGAGCCTTTTCCGTGGCGTCATTAAGCGCGTTCTACCGTCTAGACCACGGCGAGTGTTTGGCGAAGAGTTATTCTCCCTTTCCCTTTCCTTCAGAGGAGCACGCGTGCTGGTCTACATTGTCACCTGTGACTAACTGTGGCCACTATTCTAACGCAAACAAAAAAAGTCATTTCTTTGTCGCACTATCCGCAAATGGAATGATCTGCGAGCTCACGTGTTGCCTTCCGCATACAATTTTGGATCATATAAGAGGGGTGAAGAAGCATCATGCAGGCCGGCAAGGTAAAGATGACTGGTGTGGCAGATAGAACTGCTGTACCATCTATCTTAGCCTCTGGATTCCACCGTCACTTAACATCAGGTGAGATGGAGTAATTTGTCGAACCTATCTATAAAAAAAATCAAATGTATTTGACCGCCTCGTCACTTCATATTTTAATGAAGCTGACTATATCAGAACGGCGCCAGTTCCTTTAATTGACTTTTACAGATGAACTGGTTACAAAAAGAGTCACTGTTTATAAACTTCCAGATTTAGCACTGACTATCAGTACGAGCTGGTCCGTTCGGTGTTCGCGTATCCCCCAGACTACCTGCTGATAGACACGCCATACCAGATCCAAAACCCGAAGCGGTTATACGCCCCTCTCAAGGTCAAGCCGAAGAAGGAGAAATCACCGAAGAGGGACCTCAAATCGGCTAAGGGGAAGAAGAAGGAAGTCGATACTGAGGAATATTTGGCGTTATTGGAGGTGATATATAAGTACTGGCTATATCATCTTGATCAATTGCATTTTGTTCTGATTAGTCACTTGAATAATTTCTCCCTCTTGTAAACCTCTCTGTTTCATTTACGAGATCATTTGAGATAACGGGTCAGAGAAATCCGTCTCGGTAAATATAGCCTCACTTGAGGCGTGAGATCTTATTTTAAATTAGTATGGTTAATATAAAACAAAGTAAGGCTGGCCAATGACTGTTAAAAATATTTTATTTTGTGTGTCATAAGGTTGATTTCACAGTTTCCTTTCCAGAAATGATTTATAAAAGGGACAAGAGTTCGTTTTATAAGATAAAAGGTCGTATGTGCGATACAACATAACAATAACATTTTGTTGTTTGTAACTATTCCTTGTGAGACAGTTGTTATTAGGTTTAACTTAAACTGTTTTAAAACATTTATCTTTGTTCATTGTGCATTGAATGTAGCTGCATAAGTTTAAACATACGCGGAAAGTTTTTAGTTTTGATTTTTTATGCAACCCGTTATCTATGGAATTGTTAATCGAAGTATATGTGAGTTCTTTTTATCTCCACTTTTTAGATTACGTTTTTTACTTGGAAACAATATTACTTTAGGACAAAAATATTGTTGACATTTAAAGAACCTTCTTTGACAGTGTCGGCTGACTAATTTGTAGAGTTAATACAATCGGTTGTATGTTAACCTTGATTTGTCGTTTAATACTTTGAAGTATTTTGTTAATTTTACATGCTAAAAAAATTTGTTGTTGTGTAATTTTAAACTTAATTAAAACAAAATCCTAATAAGAAAATGAAGATTTCATTGCGTTAATTTGAGCTAAAAATTTGGAACAATTATTATCTGTCATATTCAAATGTTCGTTTGAACGTACTTATATAGAGTAGGTTTGGAGAATTAAATAGTCATACTATTTTCGAAGGAACGAATTTTCGAAATGAAAATGAAGCAGAGTAATTAACGTGCGAAATTTGTTAAAATTTAGTAGGCCTCCTGTTATGTTCAAAATTTACACTGATGCTCATACCATTCTTGGCCATAAAACCTTGGGCACACACAGAAAAGTCTTAAGAAGTAACGGTGGGCGAATATAAATAATTTGTATAATATACTTTGAAATACCTATTTAAAGTCAAATAATAATCCATTTTAACATAAAAATAAATAATCTCGATTTCTACCAATTATACTAAACTGAACTTGTAACCTTTCACCGGTTGCCATAGCAACCGCCTATAGAGATTCCTAGCTAGTGCTAAAAACCTATGAAATATCAAAACTTTACTATTCCATCAAAGTAATACAGGAAATTGCATTGTAAAACTGTTGTCTATCGCAATAAGAATGACACAAAATTACATGTCGTTCATATTCAAGTTTTTGAACACTATCAACTGTCTTTGACGTCGCACTGCATATTAAAGTTCGTTCTTATTATCTGGTCGTCTCGTAAAGTTTAATCTCCAGACTTAGTTCTATTTCCGACTAATACAACTTTTCTGTTCTTCTTGAAAGTGCATGATTCAGCTTTTGACTCAAAATCAATATCTGAGTTGTCACTTGCAGCCAATATTGAAAATAAATGCCTTTGTTTGCAAGGAAACATCGTAAAGCTTGATCATTTCCTATTACCTATTGACATCAACTTTGAATAGTATCGAACCTTTTCCTATAGCTTCAATTTCGTTTCCATTAGCTGTCACTACTTCATGTAACCCATTGATATATTAAAATTCCACGTACCATCAGTTATTATCAATATACTCATTAGACAATATGCCATACATGTTGTCAGCTTTGGAGGAGGTTTTAGGCGATCATTCGGGATCCACTTCTTGCATTTTCTGATTATACAATTGCTATTAATATCCACTATATTTGCAGAATTTAACCTTTTGCGTGTTCTCATTATCAACGTATCTCTTCCTTGCCTTTGCTGAAGTGTGCAAGGCTTCTGCAACATCGCTTCCTGCTCCTTCAGTTTTAACTGACAGAGCTTTTTCATGTCCGACTATTTAGCTTGTTAGGTTTGCAACAGTTCTTTGGATATCAGATAAACATCCAACTGACTTAAATCCGAAATAGTCAGCTGGTAGAGTATCTATCAAGTTCAAAATTTTTGCCAGCTTTTCTTCTATTTTTAGAGCTAAATCCAATTCGTGCCATAGATTTTTCAAGATATCTGAGAAGCCTTATCGTGTTCTGGTACCTTTCTGTAATTAAAAAAATTAAGGCAATAGTCATAACTTATCTATCTAAGTCCCACACCTCGTATTAGCATTATCGAGTCGTAATTCTTTCAATAGAATCTCGTTTGACATGTTTGTGGTAAGTAATACAAGGACAATACTGTTATTGTTATATTATTACAGTAAGAATTGCCGATCTATAAAATTATATACCTATGTTTAAAATAAGTTAAACTTCCGGACATCATCTATCGGCCCACATAGCATTTTAAGTTTTGTCGGTCCCCTATTTACTAACCATCTTTTCCGTGTGTTTTTGAAAATCTATTATTATTATTGCTTAACCCAATATTTATTATTGCATTGAAACTTGTAACACTAAGTGGACCGATAGATGTGCCCGGAAGTGTAAATACGCTTCATGAAGAAAACTTTTAAAAGTTGATTTCTGTTTATACAGCTCATGCAGAGAGACGAGCGTGAGCAAGAGGAACGCGAGCTCCACGACATGGAGTCATGGAACCGGCGCGCACACATCTTACCGCTACAGGCGGTTGCTACGTCCCAGCTGTTCGACAGGATTTGGCCACCGCCGCCGCCCGAGCCAGTACCAGAACCAGAGTCCGAACCAAAGCCTAAGAAGGGCAAGAATTTGTCCTCCAAGAAGTGATGCGTAGGTGTACCAAGAATTATATGACGTATCTAAATGCGTTTGAATACAGAATCACTCGCAAGGTTTTTTGTTTCATTTTAACGCTAAGCGTCAAAGTACAGAAATAAACTTGTAAAGGGATAGATACCGACTCGCATTTCTGCCGGCCGTCAAACTGGCGTCGACCTAACGCAAGCACTCTAAAACGTTCGAATCGGCTACGGCTAGACGAGATGCCGCACTTACGGCTCGCCGATCGCTAGTTGTCGTCTAGATGGGTACAGTTCGATCAATCATCGAGAAAGTAACCACTCCACCTGAATCTAAAGGGCTACATCGAAATCGCGATCAAAACAGCAAACTCGGAGTCCTGAACAAGGTGCGGCGTTTTTTCACGCCCGATCTATTGTGCCTGATATATTGCTCGCATCTCTGCCCCTCTAGCATGACCACCGTAACGGAATATGATAAAACTTTTTATCGAGTTTCAACTGTCAAACTCTACTGTAGTCTGACAGTTAATGCCGATATATCGCTTAATCATATCCCGTTTCGGTGGTCATGCTAGAGGGGTTGGGATGGCTACGCTAAGTACTTACTCGATGCCTTGGATAGGTTGCAGCGGCGCGCTGCTCGCATCATTGGCGATGAAGAGGTAACTGAGAAACTCGAGTCTTCACAATTACGCCGCGATGTGGCATCATTAAGCGCATTCTACCGACTATACCACGGCGAGTGTTCTGAGGAGTTATTCTCCCTTATACCTCCATCACCTTTTCTTCAGAGGACCACGCACGCTGGCCTACGTTGCCACCGAGTTACTGTGGCCAATATTCCTACACGAACAAAGAAATTTAGTGACTCATTTCTTTGTCGCACTATTCATAAGTGGAATTCTTTACTCGCGCTCGTTCCCCCCTTCCTATAATCTGGGGTCCTGTAAGAGAGGCGTGAATAAGCAACATGCAGGCCGGCAGGGTGAGGATGGCTGGTGTAGCAGTTTATAACTGCTGTACCAGCTATCTTCGCGTTTGGACTTTATCACCATTTAACATCAGGTGGGGTAGTCATTTGCCTACCTCGCTATAAAAAAAGAACCGTAACCGCCGCCCGCACCACTACAGGGGGCTACGTCCCAGCTGTTCGACAAGTCGTCGCCGCCGAGACAGTACCAGAAGCAGAGCCCGAACCAAAGCTTAAGAAAGGCAAGAATTTGTCCTCAAGAAGTAATGACGTAGGTGTACCAAGAATTATACCTATATGACGTAAATGCGTTTGAATACAGAAATGTTCGGAAGTTCTTTCGTTTCATTTCCGCATTGCGCTTTAGCGTCAAAGCACACAGATCAACTTGATCGACACCAACTCGCATTTCGGCACTGACATTGAAAGAACCTTTTTTGACAATGTTAGCCGACTAATTTTTAGAGTTGATACAGTCCATTGTATGTCAACCTAAATTTGTCGTTTAATACTTTGAAGTATTGGAAATAAAATAAAAAATAAAAATTTGGTATATTTGTTAATTTTACATGCTCTAAAATGTTCCTCACGCTAAGCAGCCTCGATTAAAAATAGTCTAGCAGTCATTTCAGGCTTAATTAAAACAAAAATGAAAGGGTTTCAAAACTATTTCCGGACGAACGAATTTTCGAAATAACAAAGAAACAGAGTAAGCGACGTGCGAAATTTCGATCGAAATATCGTTTTTCGTTGAAATAGAGTAGGCTCCAGTTCTATCAGTCATCGAGAATGTAACTACTCTGTTTAAAGAGTCCGCACTGGTAAGTGTCTTCTGTATGGACAGCACGTTCGGTAACGCAGGCCGCCAGAGGAGCGTCAACGAAGAGACGTAAGCTAGGCTACGGAGAGACATAAGCTAGGCGCTATGGAGATTAGTCAGCATGTATTATAGGCTACCTATTATATACTAAAAAGAGACAGTTTATATTTTTATTTAAAAAGCATTTTAAAACTCTAGAAAATTATACCACAAAGAATTCCACGATGACCGGTCACAGAAGGGACTCGAACCCGCACCCACAGCTATCTGGGCGAAAGCACTGACCAATAGGCTTGTGTCAACTAACAATAAATCGAATGGGTTACAGTTTCTAAATATGAATTATGATATACAGATAACAAAAAATAAAGCTATTTATCATAATAATTAAAGATTATTATTATTTTTAGAAAATAAATTCGAATAAAATAGGCATTAGATCACGTGACGGCAAACACCAATCAGAAAGACACGTCACCACGTGCAAAACATTACTAGTGGTTGCCGTTTCCATACATTTCATTGATATCTCATTCATGTTATTGTTACTTTGATACAATTTATCAGTTTGTTTTCAGATAAGTATTGAAAGGAAGCCTAATAAATCCATGGAATTGGGATTTACCGAAGCAAATAATAATATTTTAACCAAAATAAAAAATTAATCGCATTACTACTCGACATAATTAAGCATATCATTTGGCAACTAGAACAAGAATAAGAAGTGTTTATTATTATGAATAAATATATTGAACTCTCAAATAGACTCTAAATCATACCATAAAATTAAATCAACTTACCTTACCTCAACCTATTGTCATTGTTTTAGCAATATAATGCAATATAATTTATCCGGCTGGTATAACATTTTGATTACATTGATTATGTTATGCAAAATACTTACATCAAAATGTTCATCACAAAATTATTCTTGTATTTGTTGATAAACAATGAATAGGTACCATCCCTCCTTGCAAGTTCTAACCATTTTATCCGCATTTGTGGCATATAAATAATTTGTCTGGCGTTTTATGCTTCTCCTTTTATACTAGGACACTATACAGTACTTGTAATACGATGGATTCATTTTTAACTAAATAATTTTAATAGTCGGCGTACAGCGTATTGTTTGCTTTGCACGGCGTGACGTCATTCTAGACGCCATGACAGTCTAGAGCGTTTTCGAGGGAAATTTGAATAAGTTTTTTAAAATACAAAATACATATTGCTTATGTACTTTTTTATTTAAAATAATATTTTTTTGGGGTTAAATAACCATCAAGGTATATTATTAACCACTTTTTAAAATATAGACAACTAGCCTATTATGCTACCGCGGCCCTAACGGCCGTGTCGAATTTCCTCTAGTGTTTCTTAGGCTGCAAGGCAGCGCCATCTCTTCGCATTATAAGTAACCCACAATGTCAAACAAAAAATCTTAACAAGTATTAAACATTTGAAAGAAAAAAATGTAGTTTAATATATATATATTTTTAAAGCATTTGACAGCTAGATGTTAAAATGTAAAGAAAATTTTACTATCAGAATTTCCACGCAAACCAAGCAGCAGACGGGACACAAACCCACACCCTCCGCTGAAGTTGACAAGTAGACCTTAGCACAGCATAGCGTAGCATAATTTCATGTTCATTGGTCCAACAGCACGGTGATTTGATAATTATGTTAAAAAAAACAGCAAAAGCGCAATAAAATGTATTATTGGTTTCCTAGTTGTATTCTATAAAAGATAAGGTTGACAATTAGAGCATAGCATCAACGATGGTTATTTAATATCGTTGCATAGCACAGCAGAGCGCTGCTGTATAATTTACATGTTTCATCAGCGCTGTGATTTGATAAACTGTGTTAAAAAAAACAGCACATACGCAGCATGTATTATTGGTTCTTCATAATATCCTAAATAGAGAAAATTTTCAAGTTGAGCGTAGCACGGCACGTCGCAATATAACTTCCTTGTTAATTGGTCACACAAGTAAGATAGCAACAAAATGAGACAACACGTCAAGTTGACAATCAATAAAAAATTCTTCTGAGTTTTTTTTACTTAATTAAACAGGCAACAAAAAAGATAGCCCACAAATTTCAAACCTTATCCGTTAACATTAAGAATTTTATTATGTTTCTCCGACTACATGTCCAACATAGGAAATAAATAAAACCAACTTATTCCGGTTATAATGTTATTAATCTATTAATCTGAATCAAAATGTTATCAATATTGTTATTTGTTATACATTTAGTACAAGAATATCTTTCTCTCAGTACATACAATACAACACACACTTGCTCAGTTGTGCATAAACATTTACACGGTAGTACACGTCTCACTGAGTTTACCTATCACAAAAAAAGATAACTAGACACATGAAAATAAGTTCAAAGTGTATAACATTAAGGTTCATATTACGGTTGCGCAAAATTTTCTATTTATAATTAGACATTTCCATAGAGCGACTTCTTTTTGAATTACACAAAAGTGCGTGAGATTCAACTCCCACTTAAAAGGCTCCCACCAATTTACACAATACACTATATTTAAAAATCACATTTATTACATTTAATATAAAGAACATTTTGGCAACAAACATCATTTTAACTCAATCACAAACATTGTGTATTACAAGCTCTTGTAAACATCTTATTTACACATGGCAATGTCGTGACATCAGTTCTTATATCTACCAACAATATGGCGGATTTTTTAATCCTAATTGGGATACTTAAATGCTGCACTTTAGTGAATTTGCGAAATTGATATCAATTAAATGCATAAATCAATATTAGCTTGAATCCAATATTTACATCAAAAACTTTATTGTAGAGATGAAAAAGATAATATTACAACATTAATAAAAAAAAAAATATCATTGTTTACGACATATTATCACTGAACAGAAAAAAAATAGAAAGAAAAAAAAGCAAGCAAAAAAACAGGCAGTTGGAATGGACTGAGCGACATTCGCATAGGGATGATGACTATCTTTTTTTCTAGATTAGAAGATTATTAAAAAGTATAGTAGTAGATACGTATTTTTGCTTTCTTCATATTATAAAATTATTACAGATATATATTGATTTGAAATGTCCCATGAAATGTCACTTCTAAGTAAAAAATTCACGTCTTGTAAATTTTTTACTTAGAAGTGACGTCACGAGCCGTTTCTCCCAAACCCACGCGCTTTCTCAATTTTAATATAAAAAAGCACAAAAGTAGCTGTCCATATTTTTTCGATGATCTACCTGACGGACTAAATAGAATTTCGTTTACTCCGCCATCATCCCTTTTGACAAATACCTAAAAGAAGAGAAAGCGATTATACAGCTTATACATATACGAACTATTGGCCGTACTATGGCTTCATCTCTCTCACACTTATCTTCCCAGTTTTATCGTACATGTGGAAAGTCAACGCTCAATCCTTTCTCTGTCTATGAAAGAAATCTGGGTGTCGATACTGTTCCGCTTGCGTTAAAATAATATCTCAGTAGTGGTTCAGTGATATCCGTGTTTGACACAGTTCTTGTTACTAAAACATAAAATAAAAAATGCATTAAGATAACTATAACAAATATTAAGTAGATAAACTACTTGTAATTTTGTGTTTGAGTAACAATAAACTTACAAAATACAAATCTACTGAAACACCATTGATTCCCAAGTATTGCTTTTACATAGCAGAATCGACACCCTGATCTTCTGTGGTCTAAACATAGATCTACTTTGTTTTATAGTGCTTGCCCAATAACCCTTCCAAACTTTTTTAAATATTCCGTGGATATTAATGTGTAATAATATAATCAACCTCTTCGCAAATGCACGTTAATTTTCACCAATAGTCGAGATATTTTTACCTGTAAATACTAAGATTGAACAAATACATGTTCATAGATAGTCATGACTATTACTATGCACTAATAATACATAATAAAAAGAGTATAAATTCTGTCGTTAACAGAAATATAATATAATAAATCCTGTTTTGTTAATATGCTTAGTATATGTATTGACGACGCAATCTGAAAAATTTAAAGAAATATTTACATTTAAAGGTTAACATAAAGTTTCAAATCGCATCATTTCTCTAATTTTGGTAATTTTTCTTTCCCAAATAAATAATAGGCTAGTTGACCCTTTTTGGAAAAAGGTTTTAAATGGTGAATAAATGTTCTATTAGACCGAAAAAAAATGTATTGTATTTTTTTGAGACCTAGAAAGCTACAAATCTTTAATTTTAAAATAGAATTTTCATGGACATACAAAAACGCTGTCGGCCATTTTAGTCTATAGATTGTCTATGCTATGATGTCAATTATAGTAAACAAAAACTCGTAAGCACGTAGAAAATAACTTATCTGAGTTTATGATAAAAAGAACACGATTTCTAATAAATACCACGAAAAATAAAGTAATTATCATTATTGTATTGTACGAGAATATAAAAACACATCCTTGAAGACTCCAGGAATGTTATGGATTAAAGTGCCGAAAGAAATTAACCTACGCAACTTTATTACACTTATTCATATGTTGTATCAGTTTTATGTTTATAACTACATTGTAATACTAAATGCACTGTACTTACATAGATGCCTTGTCGTTTCACTGCTCCGCAGAGCAAAAATGGGGGTTTAGTGCAAAAAATTCACCAAGCATCAATGCGTCAATTCTTGGCAGATTTGTGCTTTCTGCTTTCACAAAGCCGGCATCCATAATTAGTTTTGTCAAAAAAATAAGTAAACGGAAACTTTTCTAAAGTTAAAAGTGTTTTAAGATAAATTTATTCAGACTAAAGAATCCACCCACAATAACACGCGAATGACATTTAGTTGTTTACTGAAAGAGACGTCACAATCGTGGCGGATGTGGCGAACAGCGTTTTTAGTGTTTAAAAAATATAGACTAAAAAATATTTTTTAAAATTAAATTTCTACAGCAATCTTCTGCTTTTATGAAGTGAAATCGATATATTTAGGTTCCTTAGACCAAATACTGTAAGAAATAAACATTTATTTAATACAATTCGATATGAGTCAACTAGCCTATTGACAGACAACTTAAATAAGGTTTAGGGATGGTACAACAGAATTTAATACCACATCCAATAAGGTTTTTACAATATTGACTAAAAAATAATTGGAACACTTACATTATTATAATAATAACTATATTATTTGGTTATAAATTGATTAAACATTGAGCATACAGGTGAGTGGTACAGAAACTGTAAAATTATAAACTACGCTTAAAGTCTAGTATTTTCCGTCACTATTCTTCAACAGTGGAAAGAGATATTATTTGCAAAAGAGACATTTTGAATTATTCATTATACCGTGTTATAATTTTACAAATTATTCGTTCATTACAAGCCTTTCACATTCACCAATACAACCCACTTCGTCTAAAAATCAAACCTGTATATAGTTCCAAATTCGATTATCATTAAAGCATAATTGAAATAATCTTATCCTATATTTAAAACTGGCACAATACATGACCGCAAAATAATGTAATGGCATAGGCAATAAATATAAGTCTAAGTACTTTACCATCCATCATCTCTTTCTATCACAAGGTTGTGACATAAATCGGAGAGAGAGAGGATATGCCTGTGAATCGTCTGGTCGATACAAATGTTAGGTAAGCATATAATTTGCCATCTCTCTCACTCTAAAAACCGCTATATCTACGTTTAAGAAAGGGACAGAGCGACAGTAAAATATAAATCAAGGCGCATTATGTAGTTGATGATTAAAATGATTACGATACCATTTTATTTTGGAGATACGAATAGAGTACCCTCCATATTTATATTACTTTATATTTAATACAATTCAAACAAATACTACTCTTTTGTTTACTTAATTGGTAGAAAATACGTTTAGTTACTTAAGTAATATAATTATTACTTAAGTAACTAAACGTATTTTCATAAAAATGAAAATCATGATCATAAAGAAAAATAAAACAATAGAATTACGCAAAGATAATTATTATGCTCTCGGCAAAGTTCGTTCATTTTTCGCTAATACGAACAGGTCATAACAAACTTCAACAAGGAAAAATGTTATAAATACCATACCGATAAAACCCTCAAAATTCCTACTGGAGTTGATGAAGAAAGTGCCTAAAATGTATGGCGCTGCTGCTCTTATTCTACATTCATAAAATACTGTAATTACGACACTCGCACAACCCCTGTGGTGGTCCACATTGCAGTGGTCCTGCGTTGGTCCTAACAGTTTGCATGTACTCATCATATGTAATCAGTAATTTTAATGCATAATAGACCGGGAGATGATGACACAAAATACTTGGTCATTTGTACCAGTATGGCGGTTCTTCAGGGGTCTAATTACGTAAAGGCAAAAAGGAAAATGATGATCATAGCGCTCGCACCGGCGGCCCAATCGCGTGGGCGTTAATCGAACGCGTCGGATAAATAATGAGTGTCCAACGATTTGTTCCACAAAAATGCTTATATTTTCAGATAGTCGAAAAAAAGAAGTAGGCGGTAGCGTAATGCCATACTTCTCGGGTGTGACTTACAGCCCGCCATACCGACGCGAATACATTAATTTAAATAAAACAATTCAACCATTTGTACCAGGCTAATTTTTGCACAGCTAATCATCGTCGAGTAGCCATTCACGAAAATCACCTTGCCATACTTTTCCGACAGTTCCCAATGGCCGCCATACCGCTGCAAAGGAGTAATTTTTTTTTTCGCCAAACGATTTGTACCAGTATTGCATTTGAATTTTTGGAAAGTATTTGGCAAAATGTGACCGTTATTATTTTTCCCATACTTCTAGTAGGGGGAAAAAGTGCTGCCATACTTGAAATACTTATTTATTTGACACGTTTTCAAAATACGACTGCAAAATACGTAAAATCATTTTTTACATCATGACATCATTGTATTCTCGTCATTTGGATGCAATTGTACGTAAAAAAATTTATTACAGATTGTAAACATGGGGCGGATGACTGTCGGACTTGAGCTAAAAGGTGAAAAAGAAAAAAAAAAATTGACAATTTGTACCAGTATGGCATTTGGATTTTTGGAAATTATACGATACAATGTGACCATTATTATATTTGCCATACTTGTAGTAGAGGGAAAAAGTGGCGCCATACTTGAAAAACCTGATTTTTCGACACGTTTTCAAGGTACAAGACATAAAATCATTTGTTACAGTATGGCATCATTGTATTCGGTTTATTTGGATAAAATTCAACCTAAAAAAAATAATCCAAGACCTCTACAATTCGAGAAATCTTTCGAGCGGTGGGAACCGCAGAATATTATACAACATAAAATCTGCTTATAAGACAAGATTGCCGCCACTTAGGTGTTTGAAACTTTGTATTTATATTCGTTAAACCTCAAACTTACAGGAAAAAATAGTGCCATACTGGTACAAATCGTTCGAATTACGAATAAAATCTTACGACTTTGAAAAAATATTGTTCACATTCGCCACCTCCCACAGGTATGGCATTATCAGACTTCTATTTATGATCATACGGGGAACTGTTAAAAAAAGTTTCAGGGTGGTACAAATCGTGTGGCGAAAAAAAAAAAAATATTCCTTTGCAGCGGTATGGCGGCCATTGGAAACTGTCGGAAAAGTATGGCAAGGTGATTTTCGTGAATGGCTACTCGACGATGATTAGCTGTGCAAAAATTGGCCTGGTACAAATGGTTGAATTGTTTTATTTAAATTAATGTATTCGCGTCGGTATGGCGGGCTGTAAGTCACACCCGAGAAGTATGGCATTACGCTACCGCCTACTTCTTTTTTTCGACTATCTGAAAATATAAGCATTTTTGTGGAACAAATCGTTCGACACTCGTTATTTATCCGACGCGTTCGATTAACGCCCACGCGATTGGGCCGCCGGTGCGAGCGCTATGACCATCATTTTCCTTTTTGCCTTTACGTAATTAGACCCCTGAAGAACCGCCATACTGGTACAAATGACCAAGTATTTTGTGTCATCATCTCCCGGTCTATAAGTAATGTTTGTATATATTTATTTAACACTGCACTGGCTGTATTTTATATAACCACTTCAAGCTATGCGAGAGGTTTTCCCTGACACGTGTTCACTGTTCTCACACTTAAAAGGGGAATCCAACCGCTATAATTGTAACACGCTTTATATTATTTGTTTCTTAGGTAACGTCTATAAATAAATAAAATCAGTGCATCTAACCTGATAAAACTTGTTTTATTTAACGCTTTATGTTGTTAATAATAAACTTTTATTTCATTTTTCATTACGAAAACACTATCAACGTTCCGAAAGCCTGCAAATGCCTCAATCCGAATTATGTACGGTGCTATGTGCACTGTTTGCGCGCAATCAATTCAGATTGCACTTTATTCGCATTTGGTTTAAATGTTAGACGACATGACGCTTCAATAAGAATTTAAGTAAAAACAAATCGGTTGGTGTGGTGTTTTATCAATAATGATCTGTTTTTTTATTAAAAAGTTTATGAAATATTTAATTTGTGTTTATGTAGTTTCAACATCAAGACGATGGACGAACTAAGTTCAATATTAATTTAGGAAAGTGATGGATTTGGGAAAGTAATCGGATTTTTAGCAACACAAAACTTCAGACTAGTCCAAGCGTCAAATTTTAATTTCGTGAGCAGCGTTTACATGGCTTGATGACATCACTAATAACGTCACATGGATTTCGATGACGAATACGATAATTTAAGACCACTAGTATGCGCGCTCTCTGTGCAAATTGTACGATATCACGCAATTTGGACCGCAGCGAATAATGATATACATGTCATCGGAATATAATACATTCCGTAAGTTTATCAATTTCTTAGTAAATTTATCTAAATAGTAAATTGATTAATATTCAAGCATGTCCCCGTAAGATAATACATTTTATCTCTCATTTATATTCTTATCTTATAAATTTACTAGGAAATTGATAAACCTACGGAATGTATTATATTCCGGTGACATACATACATAAATTCGCTAGATTCATAAGATATAATTTAACAGAAGGGAAATCTGCTTTAGTTCCGTGGTATAGTTTGGTCACGTCGGAATTGCTCTACAACGCTTCCTACAACATCATAATTTGGAAAATACTTTTTAATAACAAACTTTGCCGAGACGTATAAGCTAACAGGATAAGACACCGTTAAGACCACGTAACTCTTTTATTGCATACAAAATATAATAGCACTATTCGCAGTGCTGTTTTATCTAGTGTCATAGCATTGACTATCTAATACAATTAATTTTCAATATAGAAAATAACTAACAAGTGCATAACATAGAGATAGCAACAATACACAAATTACTAAACAATATAATTATTGCACTTCTAAAAGCATTTACTTAAAAATAAGATCAATTTTCTATTGCTTACTTTTTTAAAAAACTATAAACTGCAAGCCATACTTTTAAAACTAATTAATTATGTAATTCCAACGCTCACACCAATTAGCCTAGCCCCAAAGTAAGCACTCTAGGTTTTCGTTATGGGATACTAGGTTAACGGATATAATACATATACAGTGTCTACTAGTACGGAATACATATAAAACATCCATGACTGGAGTACAAATATCTGCCCCTACTAGGATTCGAACTCGGGACCTCTCGGGTAGGTGACACTTTAAAACATTGATGAGTTATTAGTTTTATTGATAGAAAAATAACATGTTAGTTTGATTTAAAAAATAATACTGGGTTTTAATAATACTGGCATAATTCAATTGGTTATTGAAGCAGATTTCAAAAAGCATAGCAATACAATCGTAAGTTTTTAAATTTAATACTCCAGCAACAAGATGCACATATGCGTTGTTTTTTTTAATAATGTATTATGGCCACTAATGCCATCCTGGTGTTAACGAGATCAGAAACAGACCATAACAAAAGGAGGACTAGAACTCAGAATTTATCAATAATTTTAATTGGGAGTTCATTCTTTTTATGCTATTTCAGAACTTATGCGAAGTCTATGTCACATAAGTATTTCAACTCTATTTTATAGCAGTAAAAGCTATATCCGGAATGCAAGTATATCACGTTATATTTTGGAACAAACAATTTGGCGGATGGGTGCTACGCGAAAAAAGTGTAAGGTGTTCCCGTCACATCACAACCGTCAGTTGTTTCGTAGCGTAGTGTTTAGTTGTATACTTTTACTTATAGTCTAAGAGCCAGCGGCCCGCAGGCCTTCGGTAAAGTATAAAAGCTGTAAGTTTCTCAATGTATGTCCCCAACACAGGTAAGAACGAACCCCGTCTATGTAACTTGGGTCGCGGTGGCTTTCGCAGGTATCAGGTAATAAAGGTGTGTAAAATTGTGTGTTAAATTTGGTAAAGTATAAAACTCAGTTTTTACATATTTTACTTATAATAATCCTAAAAGTCACCTTGCCAAAAGCCAGACACTTCGTACGGTTCCAACCCTCTGCCAGACACCCTTAAAGTATATTTAATTGTTACTATACTTACGGTATAGTATAAAAGCTGCAATTTATATATGTTATTTGGATAACTATAATGGACCGAACGCGCTATTTCACTCGCACCCGCTGACACATATATCCCTCGCGCTCGCACCTACATTAGACTTTTGATGTGCCTGGCAACATAAAGGAACCACTGAAACTGTCTGGCTATTGAGAAAACATTATTTTATAGTTATCCAAATAACATATATAAATTGCAGCTTTTATACTATACCGTAAGTATAGTAACAATTAAATATACTTTAAGGGTGTCTGGCAGAGGGTTGGAACCGTACGAAGTGTCTGGCTTTTGGCAAGGTGACTTTTAGGATTATTATAAGTAAAATATGTAAAAACTGAGTTTTATACTTTACCAAATTTAACACACAATTTTACACACCTTTATTACCTGATACCTGCGAAAGCCACCGCGACCCAAGTTACATAGACGGGGTTCGTTCTTACCTGTGTTGGGGACATACATTGAGAAACTTACAGCTTTTATACTTTACCGAAGGCCTGCGGGCCGCTGGCTCTTGCTCTATTATGTTAATTTTTAACTTCGTTCCAACCAAGTGTTCCACGAAACTCAGTTTTGCTTTTTATCAGTTCCAAACATATTTTCGAGAGATCATATTAAATTAGAGATCATCAATTGTTTTGTTAGTCAATATGAAAGCTTTTTTATAATTCCATAAGAAAAAAACAAGGCTAAAAAAATATCCACTTCTAAGCAAATGACGTGCTTACAATTTGTCGGATAATAACGTCCGTATCAGACACGTCACTTAAATTTTATGCTTCAAGTCATGCGTCTTCTATTGTCGACGCATAGAAGGTGACAACTTTAACTATAATCAGACTTACATTTGACATATCTGCATACGGCGCTAGTATCACTAACGAGACTTTGGCCGTAGCATCTACAGTAAATTAATCCATTTAACGCCAATAATTATATCCTCAACTGAATCGGACGTCATAAAATTTTTAGACTAATTTTGTACATGACTAAATTATTAAATGAAAATATTACATACAAACATTGATTTTCTCTTCTTTTAAATAACTCTTTTATTTGTTTATGATAGCAATATCTAAACATTTCTTTTTTAATCTATAAACCGTTAATGAACCTGTATTTTGAACAAATGACAATATTTTCTTATTTTTACAACACTCGGTACAAAAACTGTTATAACTATTTTATTATTTTTCGAGATTCATATTTGAATGCCAATGACCTCAAATACACTTTACGCAAAAATAATTTATACTTTTGTTGTGTGTGTGTGTGAAGTTTTTAAGCAGCGATTAGACGTGAACATCAAAATTATAATGCTACAAATAAATAAATGCACGTTAAATAATACATAGAACACGTTTTAAATAACACGAATAATTCGAGATACCGCCGCTCGATTCTGCAGCCATTTGTTTTATTAGAGAAACTTAAACGGGTTGCCTAGACAGTGCTGTTTACGTTATACAATTTGACAAATACGATTCGCAATTAAACACGCCTTTAATACGTCGCGTGATGACTTTATTCGTAGTACATACAATTTTGTACTCTGTGTTTTCTTAGGGATATATTTATTGGATATCGTTTCTTTTGCTTTTAAACGAGTACTATTGAATAAAATTGAGTTGTTTTTGGCAGCTAAGAGTCTTAATAAAGATAATGATAATAGCGCTTAGTCAAGCTCATGTCAAAAATTATAGTAAAATTAATTTTGTACATTTAATATCAGTCAATACCAAACACATTCATCATTCATCATATTACTTGTGACTTAAAAAATAAATAGCCGGAGACTCTTAGTAACTTATAACATCAGTAATTACTAACAGGTAATATTGATCAAATATGTTTTCAGTCAAATTACTCAGTTCAAATTAAATATTTTTCATACTGTTCTCACTCCATATTGCTTAAGTTACAAGCTCTTAGAAAATAGAATTACATAGACTAACCCCGTTATTTAATCTATCAAAATAGCAACAAAATGATAATGTTACAATAGCAAACAAAAGTCACATTATATTTTGCATACAAATTCATGATAATTACTTATGAGCGAATGACAACAGGCTAACTAGCTTTGACCATTGAGCTTGGTTTGCAAAGTTTGCTTGTAACCAGTATATTGATTATAGTACCTAAATTATATTACAAGTTATTTCAATACGTCAAAGTGATGATGATGAGGGAAGACTAAAGAGAGCATAATATTACTAACTATTATTAAGTTCGGTTAAATTAAGCTTCATCTATTTACTTCGTACTCCTAAACTTTTCATCACAGACTCGATGTTCCACTCCATAATGCCCAATTTTCTCATTTCTTAGAAAGGGAACATAAACACATTTAAATATTCTATTTTCTTTTACGCTCTACAGTAGAGCATCACTAATATACATAGAGACTACAGCTCATATCAATTAACAATACACAAAGAGTCATACACTTTACACGTTTAAAGAATATTGTCACTATTTTTGCACGAGTACGCCGTTATCCACAACACTACACCCCTACGCCGTAGCCGCACGATCGTACCATAGGTACTACGTTGTAGCCGCATGCCAGCGTGGTAGCACTTATCAATAACAAAAATGGGAGAAAAGATTCCACGCCTAAGAAGTACTACCACATAATTTTTAGTTTAAGAGTCTCAATACAGCCCGTGAAGCAAGTTTTTTTGCAGACCTTCTACATGTCAATAAATATGAAACAAGAATTCTATGTTCGCACATCAGTAGAAATTTAAAAACATGATTGATAACACAGCGTATCTGTTAAAAAGTTATTCCCATCAACGAGTGTTACAATTTTGGATGTTCGCATAAAACTTGCCTTCAACTGCACGCTTTAAACTTTGGGATGTAATACAGATGTAGCTGTAAAAAGTTTGCCCTGACTCTTAGCCGCTTGTTATCAGCGGCGCTGTTACAATCCGCAGCCGCTTGTTGATGTAATAGTTATAGGCATAACCACAGTCGAACGTTGTAGCTGCAGGTGGAAATTGTAGCCGTCTGTTGAACCTTAGCTGTAGGCTATCTCAGGCACGACGGTACATCATAGCCATAGTCAAACATCATAGCTGTAGATGGGCGTATTAGCCGTATATCGATGCGTCGTATGGCCTCTTGTTGATACCGTAGCTAGATTTGGCTGTCGTAACCGCGAACAACCATCACAACAGTCACACTAACGCAGCTGCATCGTAACCGTTGGTTAAAGTCCGCAAGAAGATATCGTAGCCACTTGTTGATGCCGTAGATATAGGTTGCCATCTTAGCCGCGAACAGTGCACCATAGCCACAATCGAACGTTGTAGCTGTATGATGGCGTTGTAGCTGCAGATCATCATAGACGCTCGCTGATAGCCTAATTATAAGTAGCCGTAGTATCCGCGGACAATCATAGCCACATTCGGACGTCATAACTTCAGGGAGATATTATATCCGCTTGCTGTAGGTCGCCGTGGAAACTGTATGATGACGTTGTAGCTGCAGATCATCATAGACGCTTGCTGACTGCCTAATTATAAGTAGCCATGGTATCAGTGGACAACCACAGCCACAGTCGGACGTCATAACTTCAAGTAGATATCATAGCCGCTTGCTGCTGTGGGTCGTCGTGGAAACTGTATGATGACGTTGTAGCTGCAGATCATCATAAGCGCTTGCTGCCGCCGTAGTTATGAGTAGCCGTGGTATAACAACCACAGCTGCTGAAGCTGCAGATGGGCATCATAGCTACCGGTAACTATAATTTCAGCGTGGTCTTTATGCCTAGTCGACGCCGTAGCTATACAGTAGAGGTATGTTGATGATTGTAGCCACAGTCGAACGTTGCAGCTGCAGATAGATATCATAGCCGCTTCCTGACGCAGTAGTTTTAAGTAGCCATGGCATCCGCGGAAAACCATAGTTAGAGCTGCAGGTGGACATCGTAGCTAATGGTGACGATCATTCCAGCGGCGGTCTTCACAGCTACACTGTTACTACGTACCTGTTATCTTCTAGTATGGCGTGAAGGGTTGTATGGGTGGTATGGCGGGGTCGGGCAGGGTGTAGGGCGGGCGCTAGAGAAGCGCGCGCCGGCACTCGTCGCGGTACGCACCCGCGCTACCCCTGTTTCATGTCTGCCATCTGTGAGGGCGATATATAGTAACATTACTACCCCGTCATCAGCTAGTATGGGGGGAAGGGTTGTATGGGTGGTATGGCGGGGTCGGGCAGGGTGTAGGGCGGGCGCTAGAGAAGCGCGCGCCGGCACTCGTCGCGGTACGCACCCGCGCTACCCCTGTTTCATGTCAGCCATTTGTGAGGCGGTATATAGCAAGTTGACCACCCCATCATCAGTTAGTATGGAGGGAAGGGTTGTATGGGTGGTATTGCGCGGTCGGGCAGGGCGTAGGGCCATCTGTGAGGCGGTATATAGCAAGATTACCACCCCGTCATCAGCTAGTTTGGAGGGAAGGGTTGTATGGGTGGTATTGCGCGGTCGGGCAGGGCATAGGGCCATCTGTGAGGCGGAATATAGCAAGATTACCACCCCGTCATCAGCTAGTTTGAAGGGAAGGGTTGTATGGGTGGTATGGCGGGGTCGGGCAGGGCATAGGGCCATCTGTGAGGCGGAATATAGCAAGATTACCACCCCGTCATCAGCTAGTTTGAAGGGAAGGGTTGTATGGGTGGTATGGCGGGGTCGGGCAGGGTGTAGGGCGGGCGCTAGAGAAGCGCGCGCCGGCACTCATCGCGGTACGCACCCGCGCCCCCTGTTTCATGTCAGCCATTTGAGGGCGATATATAGCAACATTACTACCCCGTCATCAGCTAGTATGGCGTGAAGGGTTGTATGGGTGGTATTGCGCGGTCGGGCAGGGCGAAGGGGCATTCTGTGAGGCGGTATATAGCAAGTTGACCACCCCATCATCAGTTAGTATGGAGGGAAGGGTTGTATGGGTGGTATTGCGCGGTCGGGCAGGGCGTAGGGCCTTCTGTGAGTCGGTATATAGCAAGATTACCACCCCAGCATCAGCTAGTATGGAGGGAAGGGTTGTATGAGTGGTATTGCGCGGTCGGGCAGGGTGTAGGGCCTTCTGTGAGGCGGTATATAGCAAGTTGACCAACCCATCATCAGTGAGTATGGAAGGAAGGGTTGTATGGGTGGCATTGCGCGGTCGGGCAGGGCGCAGGGCCATCTGTGAATTGGTATATAGCAAGATTACCACCCCAGCATCAGCTAGTATGGAGGGAAGGGTTGTATGGGTGGTATTGCGCGGTCGGGCAGGGCGTAGGGCCTTCTGTGAGGCGGTATATAGCAAGTTGACCAACCCATCATCAGTTAGTATGGAGGGAAGGGTTGTATGGGTGGTATTGCGCGGTCGGGCAGGGTATAGGGCCATCTGTGAGGCGGTATATAGCAAGATTACAACCCCGTCATCAGCTAGTTTGGAGCGAAGGGTTGTATGGGTAGTATTGCGCGGTCGGGCAGGGCGTAGGGCCATCTGTGAGGGCGATATATAGCAACATTACCACCCCATCATCAGCTAGTATGGAGGGAAGGGTTGTATGGGTGGTATTGCGCGGTCGGGCGGGGCGTAGGGCCATCTATGAGGCGATATATAGCAACATTACTACCCCGTCATTAGCTAGTATGGAGGGAAGGGTTGTATGGATGGTATGGCGCGGTCGAGTAGGGCGTAGGGCCATCTGTGAGGCGATATATAGCAACATCACTACCCCGTCATTAGCTAGTATGGAGGGAAGGGTTGTATGGATGGTATGGAGCGGTTGGGCAGGGCATAGGGCCATCTGTGAGGCGATATATAGCAAGATTACTTCCCCATCTTCAGTTATTGTGGAGGAAAGAATGGTTGTACGGCGGTCAGTACGGCGGGTTCCAATACTTTCTCACTTATAGAAGTACCTCTGGGTGCCCGCCACTTCGTCTGCTTGGTTAATTAGTTTCGAATACAAACTTCCACCCCCTTTTTTACCCCCTTAAAGGATAATGAAGTATCCTATGTCCTTTCCCGGGACTCAAACTATACCAAATTTTATCTAAATCGGTTCAGCAACTTAAGCGGGAAGAGGAAACGGACAGTCACACACTTTCGCGTCTATAATATTAGTATGGATTAATTACCACACCACTAGATTTGACTAAACAAAATGTGATTGTATTGAAATTTCAACTAGAAAAAATTACACTCGGTAAAGATGGCAGAATGATAAAACAAAACACTAGCAAATAAATTGGGGCGCACGCAGCGATGCAGTGCAGATGCTTGTAAGAAAATTTATCGCTGTGGCGAAGTGTCCAGTGTTCGAAAATGGTAAAACGTAAACTTTTTTGTTTTCTGGCTAGTCGGTGGATTAGTTGATTTTGCTGTAGACAGTTTCAACAGTTTATTTTGTATCTTTATCTTCTAGTTCTATCTTAGGGTGCTTCTACATGGTGCAAGTAGCTGGAGCAAGTAATATGCGAGTTACTAGCGTGTGTAGTGTGCACCAGCTACTTGCACAAGTTACTCACTTGTACATGGAGCAAATGACTGGAGCAAGTAAGTAAAGACACGGGCTATTTGCGCAAGCTTTACGTACAAGTTATGAACCTGCCGCGTCGGGCTTGCGCACGTCTAAGCCGACTCAAGTAACATGCGCGAGTAGCACGAGTGTAGGCCTATTCGCAAACTTTTTTAACATTTACAGTATGTAACTAAAGAAAAAATTGCATATTCATCTATGCTTTTCAGAGCATGTATCTTAGTTGAGCGTTATAATAAATCAGTAGTGGACTAAATAGCTCGGCGATTATCACTTCCATGTGTCAAAAGCAGTTAGCGAATAGGCTACGAGCATTTATATGTTTTTCATATCTATATAGATATACTTTATATATGTACAGTATATGTATTCTATCCGTTACCCTAGTATCCCATAACACAAGCCTTACAGCGCTTACTTTGGGGCTAGCTAATTGATGTGAGTTATGGAAATATTTATTATTTATTTTTTATACTGGGCGTGTGCTTGGATTAGTGGATCGCCCGCGCAACTGGATTAGTTGCGCGGGTGGCTCGCTTTGGTACATGCTCACAATGCGACGATGCGCGAATGCGAATCAGTATTTTAATACTTTTTCGGTTTACCTCATAGACTTCTACAAAAAAAAAAGAATACCAGCTTGTATAGGAACATATAACCCTATTTTCTAGTGCAAGTTGGTTTATTTCAGTAATTTTTGAAGTACTTCGGTTTTTTCGTAAAATTTGTTCTAATAACACTGCATGCTGGAGTTGCTCGACCCGCACATGGCTTTGCACGGTGTTTTCACGACGCATATAACCTGCGCAAGTGCCTCAACATGCACAAGTTACTTGCACCGTGTAGAAGCACCCTTACTTACTACAATAGTACTTCTTCTATAATATAGCCTAATCTGAATAAAATTTGATTTTGATTTAGTGCTTAAAATACGAGAACTTTAAAATTTATTTTTATTTCTAACTATGTCGGATAAATGTCGATCGGATCATTATTTTGCTACGAAAGTTATCATAATGGCAATACACACTCGCAGCAATAAAACACACTCGCAAACATATTAGCGCGCGCGCAGCGGTGCAATCCAGATGCGTATCCATCGATCTTATTCCTCACGTGAAATTCTTATCTATCGCTGTGCAATAATGGCAAAGTGTTCAAAGTGCTCGCCACTGGTAAATAAAAAAGCCCTGGATTTGTTCTCCAATAAAAATTACCAAACCACCGATGACATAATTAGGTTAGCCATAAAACAACATGTATGAAAATTAAAAAAAAAGCGAAATGAGTACTTTCTCTGTTACACTACAGAATGGCCGTCGCAAAGCATGGATTACTGCAGCAAAGAAAATTAATTTGACAGCAAAAGACAGCGATTTTATCAGAGAAAATCCTAAATCTATGAAAGGCAAGAGAATATCTCTAGACTACTGGTCTTATATAAGTTCGTTTGTTAATGAAATAAAACAGAAAAAAAGTAGCCCTTGCTGAGTTTCTTGCCAGTTCTGCTCAGTACAAGGTCACCCGTCGTAGATTTACTTGCCGATGGCGTTGCTTTTTAACTTTTACATGTGGTTTTAAAAGCACAGGCTGAACAAATTAATTTTGATTAGGTGTTCGCAAGAGCAGATCCTCATATACGTAGCGGCAAACATCTTGAGCAAAACCACAAACAAGTAAACTTGCGCAGTAGACATTTTTGTATGTAAACTTGCTATTGCGCAGGATTCCTTGTCTGTCGTCGTTACACGAGTTTGCCGAGGTGTATAAGAACATATGAAAAATAGGTTACTAAAATACATGCCCTGCAATCGCTCAAATACTGATAGCTTAAGTATTATAGCTAGTATGATAGCTTATACTCTCGCTTAAGATTCGCAATATAAGACTTAAAAATAATAAAATAAAATACACGCCGGGCAAACGCTAAAGGACATGGATATTTTAGCCAGAAATTCGCAATATATATGAATAAAAAATAGTAATGTCACTTTTTTTACTTGTTATAAATTTACAGATAAGGTCATCCGGACCAGTTGTAGCCATAGATCAAATAAATGCAGCTGTGTCAAATAACTCCTTACTGTTTCGTTTTTAAAATGACAAACATCTGTGGCTCTGTAGAGTAACTTTTGATTTGTAGAGTACTTTCCAAACAGTCTTTCTAACGAAATAACTCGTTGGTAACGAGTTATTTGAAACAGCTATATTTATATCATGTTAGCATGAGTAATACAAATTACAAAAAAAATGTTGAAGTATAGATTAACAAATAAAGCGTTAATTAAGGCTAGACACTTAAAAAGGAAACAAGACGTCTTAGATAGTCTTAATAAACAAATAAAACTGATCGTTGACACAATTTTAATTTAAGACGCATAAAAAAAGCATTTTAGATACAACCAAATAAAAACAACCAAAGCCAGGATTTTGTAATTCTCTGGTCAAGCTATAAAATGCATTTTATTTTCCAATTAAAACAATCTTAAAAACTTCCAAATTTATATAGTTGCCAACTATTAACAAAGTAGGTATTTTTTGTTCTTTTTTTTAATTGTAGCGAAAAATGATGCTTTCTTTCTTCTTCTTGAGCAAAACCTCCGGTAAATAAACTTGCTCAGCAGACATTATTGTATGTAAAATTGCTACTGTGCAAGCTTTCTTGTTAGTCGTTGCTCAAAAAGTTTGTCGGGGTGTATAAACCTTATTCATGAATGCTACTAAACCACTAGTAATACAATATTCGCAAATCAACTCTTGCACTTACTATCAGGTGAGTAATTGTTTGATCCTACTAATATTATAGATGCGAAAGTTTGATTGGATGTTTGTTATTCTGTCACGCAAAATATAGTTTGCGACGTGAATTGAGACATAGGATACTTTTTACCCAGGAAAATTTTAGGTTCCTAAGGGATTAGGGTTACCATCCGTTCGGATTAGTCCGGACTTTTAGAATATAGTCCGGACTTTGTCCGGATTTTTTAAATTACTTTTAATATGAATAATAAAGTGCATATTGATTTAAATACCATACTACTGTAACTAAGTGAGTAATGGTACCATTTTGCGACTAAAAAGTCCGTACTGTTTTCGAAAAGTCAGGATTATTGTCAGGACTTTTGAAAATTCTGAATGGTAACCCTATATGGGATTCTAAAAAAAATTAAGTGAAAGCGCATGAAGTCGCGGGCGGCGACTAATGGTATAATTAAGAAAGTGTTAAACAACCATGTCTCACCTAGCTTTCTGCAGTTCTATCTGCCCTTCAAGCGTCTTGGCCAGATATATGACGAAGAGCTGCGACAGTGCGACACCCAGCGCGACGGATGCGATCGTATAGAGATTCCTCTCGGCCCAAGAACGCACTATCTCTATGCACCCGCTAGTCCATATGCGTTTACTAGCTTCGGCGACCTGGAAAACGAGTTATGTTCACACTAAAATTACTCGCATTATGTAATAAGGGTTACTGGTCAAAAGACCTAATGTCACAGTGGCGCCATCTGGAGACGTAAATTTTCATAAACCCCCTCATTCAGTAACAAAGTAACAGAAGTGTTGAAATATCAATACAAAATACATCAGGATTTTCGTTTTTTTTTGTGGTTTTAGCTGGATGTTCCAAAAATCCTCTATATGGGTTAAAGTGGATTTTTGGAACCACGCGGGCTCAATGCGGATTTATACAAGCTAATGACTGCAGATGCAGCCGATACCAACCGCTTAACGTGCTTTTCGAAGCGCGGAGGAGATAGAGAAAATTTTTTGATACTCATTCTAACGGTCTTAGATTGTGAAAGGTGCTAAAGTTCCACGACCACAGACTGCACGCGCTAACCACTTGCGTCATTGAGCTCCTCCCATACGGTTTTGTCGGTATTAATAGAGTATTAATAGACTAAATGTTTCTGTCTATACGACCCCCGTGGTGCTAGTATTTACACCTGGTTTTAAGGCGGCGCCGACTCAGAGATCCTGGGTTCAAATTCCAGGTTCGTCAAATGTTTGTATGATTAATACATACATTTGTACCTTGTTGTATTATTATTTTAAGCATTAAACAGCTAAATTTACAAAAATAATGACAAAATTTAAATGAAACACAAAATTCGCCGTGCTCTGAAATAGTAAATTAATTTAATGCTTTACGAAGTCAGGAATTGTCTTATTTTATTGCTATTGCGCAAAGAAAGTGTCAGCATCAATATTAGTATAACTAAGTAAGTAATTGACTTCATTGAGTGCCGCCGTAAAAGCTTCGATTTATATATCTTTAAGCCGTCCCGGCTGCGAATGAGTAAAGTCACTGTCAAATGTGTACTGATTTTTATTTCTCATTACGTCCGTTATGTCGCTGCTGTTCAAATTTCCATACAAAATTTGACAATGACATTTCGCACCCGCAAACTATTCAATTTCGATATTAGTTCGAGCTAAGGGTACAGTACCCAAAGCATAAACAATCGACGCGAAAGTATTCGTAACGCCGTGTCAGTTTCTATGAAAACAAAACATTTCCCCTACCGGACATACGGTTACTTTTCGTACAGTACGGATAGGGCCTAGGCGAAAAAAAGAGGGTAAGGTTTTTCCGTCACAACCGTCAGTTCTTTCGTATTGTATGTAGTTGTGTACTTATACTTATGTTTATTTCCAACTTCGTTCCAAACAAACATAAAAGTTGCCCTTGCCGTCAAAACTTTGACAATGGTGATACGAATAATTTCTCGCTAATTGTTCGTGTTTGAAAAACTGACCACAAAACGGCAAGGTCCATACACATATCGTTACATTACTCTTCTATTATACTTTAAAAGCTTCTGTTAAGTATCACTTCACATTCATTACTCTATATATACACGCTCGCCGATTTTACATTAAACGCTTCTGCAAAGTATTACTATAACTCAACACAGAGCAATACCTCAAGCACGAACAACTAGCGAGAAAGTATTCGTAACGCAATGTAAAAGATTCTATGGAAAAAACTAGTTTATTTTGCGTCCGGTAGGGGCGCTGCTTAGATTCCATAGAAACTTTGACGTGGGCGATACGAATGCAAATTTGACAAAGTTCGTGTTTGGGGTACAGAAAAAAGAGAAGTCGCAAGTAAGCGGCATCCGCGTCACCTCAGATATGCGCAGCTTAGCACACTTACTCGCCAGTTGCAATTGCGATCGTGACACGAGAGCATAGCGATATAATTATTTATGACTCACGTTACCTTTCTTTTTAGTATTCTGGCGCGGTTACACTTATTCGTAAACTCGAATACGAGTGCCAATGGAATATACGGGTAACCGACTAAATGTAATTGAACGGAGTCTAGTACGCTCGTATTCCAGCCCGCATTCCAGTGTAAATATTGCTTTGGGAGCCCGAATTCGAGTGATGCCCTTCGTGCACCGACCGCTAACGACCAAATGTAATTGAGCCACTAAAGTGAAACAAATATATTGATCAAAGGCGCTTCGAAGGAACCTGATAGAAAGTTAAACTAATCGTAATGGATATGCGCGGCACCATACAACTTTCGAACAGTGTATGTAAGCTTCATAAATGCACTTTTTGAGCAAATGTTTTATAAAATATATAGTTAGGTAAAGGTGTCGATTCTGGCATGATTCTCTAAACATAAACTTAAATTTGACAACAGTGTATCCTTGTCATTTTCTATATAGAATGAAAAGGAGAGACTGATGTTAAATTTAGTTTTAAGTTTAGAGAATCACGCCAGAATCGACACCAATAAATTAATAGGCGCAAGCATAATTAAGCCAAAGAATGCATAATATACTATCGCTAAGCAAATTTCAAATAAGTTTCATTATATAAAAAACCAAATTTAATCGCCATTTGCATGATGAAATGAAATTAACTTTTTGCTAATACATATTAAGTTTATTTACAAGTTTCATTTTAAAAAATATCCATAACTTCCTGTATTAGGGTGCTATTAAACAGAAGCGGAGCTGTACGGAGTGGAGCTAAGCGGAGCCGTGAAAATAGGCAAGTTTTTCTATTGAAGCTGTTTGCGAAGGTGAGGTACTCAGAGCTAAATTTGTTTAAGATTTCCATTTCCAAAAATTAAAAGATGGCGTAAATTGCCTATCACTAAATTCGGACAAGTAAATAAAAATAAAATAAATAAAAATAAATCGCCCTAAAGTATGTACGTACGCACATAACTTACGAAAGATTGTACCAAATTGGATAATTATGTTCTTATGTTACATTACTAATATAGTTTTAGTTGAATCGAGATTAAGTAAATTTGCTGCAAGTGAGGCAAAAGGAGTACCTAAAGTTGGATTAAAATCGTCAAAAATGTGATTTATGCTGATGCAAATGTGGTGTACATGTAGCCTTAGTTTTTATTGCGTGAGTTTTTTATTACACTGGTTCTGGTACTGAAACGATATGATACTATTTCCACTCAGTTTTCAAAACTCACCGGATAGTTCTGCACCCCATAACCGCACATGATATTGACTAGCCCCGACGATATGTCCGTGGCGTTGATGCAGCACGAGAACGGAACCCCGCACCTCTCCACTGAGGGCGACGAGCAATTGAAGTACTCGTTCTTGGACCAATCCATGTAACCGTCCGAGGTCAGTCCGCAGCAATGGAACTGTTGTCAGACAAATCCATCGAATGATTGAATAAAAGAGTGATTTAATTGTTAGCAAGTTAATGTTACATTTACATGGATTAAATTTGATTCAACACAGTAAAATAAAGCCTATGTCGCACAGGAACAATGTATCTTATTACAGACATAATTTTGTTATCGACATATTAGCAAGGAGGTGAATTGAAGATTATTTATATTTTTACATACGCAATGGCATTTTACCATGTTTAACTTATTTATTTCGCTCACTAATCAGGTTACAATCAAATATAACAACAATTATATTTAAACTTTATGGTACATTATATCTTCCGTCTGAGTGCAGTGCATCCATGCATATATCACCAAGTATGTAAGAAACTCACATCACTTTGAGCGAAGTCAATGAAGTTCTGCAGATCAGGGTCATCTCTGTAAGCGTGCACGACTCTTTCTGTGAAGCTGAGCTCAAGCAGCCCGTGTAAAGAGCGAGGGAACACAAACCCACATACTGCACCACCCATTTCTACTAGGAACAAGATGAGCAGGCACAATGAGTACTGAAACAAAAGTTAGTTTTAAATAAACAAGTACACTGAAAAAAACATTAACTGAAAAAAACAACTCTAATGTTTTTACATTAAAGTGAAAAACAATTAAAATAATGCGTATTTCAGTAAGACTAACTAACCATGAACAGTAATAAATGATTGAAAAACAGTTAAAGACCAGACGGTTACTTTAACTGATTAAACATTACTCACACCTGAAATAACAGTAATAAAAATCAATCGCTACCTTAACTGTTTTAAACAGTACTCACTTACTGTCCGTGATATCTTACTAGTAACTTTTAGCGTTTAGAACAGTACGACTAACTGTCAGTAATTTCCCTAGTTTGTATGGCAAAACAGTAAATTCTAATCAAACAAAACGGTTACTTAATTTATTGTACAATTCAAGTCATTGTCTTTGAACATGATTTAACAAGGATAAAAATCAATTACAATCGTAACTGTAACAACAGTTAGATTTTTTGTTTGAAGCCGTATTACTAAATGAACGAAATAGTTAATCTAATTGATAGTATAGTCGCTACTATTACTATAATGGTAGTTAGTATTACTGTTTGAAGCAGTATTACTAAATAATTGAAACAGAACAAGAAATTGATCTACATATCCTAAAAAATATTTACGATTTAAATTTTAATTTTAATGTTTCTAACATAAGCGCTTAATGAACGAAACTGTACATTTCGCAGTTGACAAAGTTGATCATTACTTTCTAATCAATCACCGCTATTATTGTAGTCCAACAGCCACCCTGCCGTTGGACAATTCATATTTTTTCTTACCTGTTTTATATGTATTACGTAAGAATATTAAGGAATAAATGAATAGCTACACCTTTGATTTGTTCTCATGTTTCTTTGCAAAGTATTATGGTATCAAATTTTAGGAATATTCATTTGTACCTACAAAGGTGCTAGTAATTTTTATTATTTTGGTAGTAATAAACTACATTTTTCAAAGTGTAATCGTTACTTTGCGCATTTTGTGATCTTACGTAAGAACTACTACTAAGACACCCTCCCACCCCCTTGTAAGAAAAATTAGGACATGGTCGATCCCCTCTCCCCTAAATCGCCTTACGTAATAAATGAATAGCCCTTAACCATAAACTAGCAGAAATAACATTTATTATTTTTGATGCTGTTAGTTTTTTATCAGGCGTTTTTTTGTTTTTTAATAACACATGGAAATATAATAAATCATATAAAATAATTTTATAAATAATTTTATAAATAACTTTAATAATAAGGAACTTCATAAGCAAGATTCGTGGGGACCAATTTTATTAATGTTAAGTCACAATGGTGTATCAATGGTAATATTTTTTTAAGTCCTAGTAATAATAACTGTGAATACCATTGGGGCAGCATTATGATTTAACGTTAGCAGAATTGGTCCCCAAAGCGTGCAGCCGTGTCGCTATCATAAGTTTAAACCTAGTCAAAATAATAAATTAATTGTTGTTAGTTTTCTATCAGGCGTTTAAACTAAAAACGTAAAATAAAATAATAATATGTCAGCTGTGGGCGCTCTGCGGCCGCTATGATGATGATGACTAATAGAATTTCGCTATGTGTCTCGTGCTGCATCAACGCCACGGACATATCGTCGGGGCTAGTCAATATCATGTGCGGTTATGGGGTGCAGAACTATCCGGTGAGTTTTGAAAACTGAGGCGGTTCTCGGGCACGGCACGCATCGCGAGAAAATTCCTCGCTCTGCAACCCTAACAACCGCTAACTCGGACCCTACTCTGGTTCCGGCGGCATACTAGGTTAGGTTTTTATAATGTTTCGCAAAGTGGGTTTGTATACGTACACGAAATGTACTACTGATTGCGCACATTAAAACCTTCTGTGGCCGTACATTAAAATCTACTGATTGGGCACATTAAAATTTGCTTTGGACGTACATTGAAATCTCCTGTTTGCGCACCTTAACACCTACTGCGATCGTACATTAAATGCTACTGTTTGCGCACATTAAAACCTACTATTATCTTACATTTAGATCTTTTGATTGCGCACATTAAAACTATTTTGTAACTATTTTGTGCCGCAAGAATTGATTTTGTTGCTCCAATATTTCTCCAAAAACGCCTGTTACTCTAGCGAAACCACAGCGATATCTCGGAGGCAAAAGCAGTTAGAGATATCAGATGAACGGCATATTTTGTTGCTATAAGATAAGCTGGTTAGATATGAAAAAATATCAGCCCTTCATGGGTGGCTAACTACCCTTATTCTTAGATATCTCAGATTTTTCGTCTCTCGTGAACAAAAGCAGCTAGCGGCAAGAGACAAAAGGTGTAGTATAGGAAAAGATATCTAGTGACTTCATTGGATTACTCAAACCTCAATCTGCATATACCGAAGTCACTTTGAACAGATACAATATTCTTGACAAGGTTAGTCCACGATTCAACTGATTCTACCTCATTAAACTACACTTCTTTGTCGTTAGACGATTCTATTTATAATAAAAACCAGATAGAATTCGAAATAATTTTGTCACGTGAGAAATTCGATCAAATCTCAACGCCAGTGTCTTACTCTTGTGAAACGAGAAAAGCCAAACATAGAAAAAAAAGTATGACAAGCTCAAGCCCGGTGCTTATCAATCATTTTTCAATGATCAGATCTACAATAATACAAAACTCAAATGTGCTTTCAATTATAAAAGTAACCACATTTCCCTTGTCTCTACATCCAGAAAAGTAAAAAGTAAGGTCAAAAAGTTTCTCTCTCTCTCTCTTACTGTTCCTTTTTTTCTCTGTTTATATTAAAAATTTGAACAATGAACGTTGGATCTTAGTTAGTCCTCGAGAGTAAGTGTCTGCGAGATATATTTTTATTAAGGTTGTGATTCTGATGTACGCAGCTTGTCTATCTGTCAGCAACAAAATAGCAACAAATTACACCGTTTGTCTCGTGCCGCTAGCTGCTAGTTAACGATATACGGAAAATCTGAGATATCTAATAATAAGGGTAGTTAGTCCCCCATGAATGAGCGATATTTTTTCATATATAACCAGCCTATTTTATAGCAACAAAATTGCAACAAAATACGTCGTTGGTCTCGGGTCGCTAGCTGCTTTAGCTCACGAGATACGAAATATCTGATGTCTTCGGGGTCGGGGGTTGGTCATAATCCAATAAGGGTTGTGATTCTGATGTACGCAGCTCGTCTATCTGTCACCAACAAAATAGCAACCAATTACACGGTTTATCTCGTGCCGCTAGCTGCTTTAGTTCATGAGATACGAAAAATCTGAGATATATAAGAATAAGGGTAGTTAGCCCCCATGAAGGGCTGATATTTTTTCATTTCTAACCAGCTTATCTTACAGCAACAAAATAGCAATGCCGTTCATCTGATATCTCAAACTGCTTTTGCCTCCGAGATATCGCTGTGGTTTCGCTAGCGTAACAGGCGTTTTTCGGAGAAATATTGGGGCAACAAAATCAATTCTTGCGGCACAAAATAGCAACAAATAAGCAACAAAATACTATATACCTTAGGATATGGACATATGAAATTGTTACGCTAGGGTAATATACCTAAACACAATGAATGCTCACAACGCAACAGAAGATAAGGTACGCGCGTAAGATAAGCGATGTCGACACCAAGGGATATTTGTAAACATAAAAACTATAGTTTTAACAGCATAAGAGAGTTGAAAGTAATAAAGAAATTTTTAAACGTTTACTTATAAATTACTAGTTCTTTAACATGTAAAATTGTTGCATATAATAACTGACAAAAATAAATAAATAAATATGCTAATAAAATACTACATCTGGGAAAATCTAAGTCTTTCTTCTCGGTGTACTGTTTACATTTAAAACAACCGTAAAGCTTTTGTAGGTATACTCTATAATACCAAGTTAAACCAACTTACGAATTTAAGCAGACATGTGTTCTCTCTGAGTGCGCCTACGCAGCCAGCAAAGCTGACCACAAACACAACAGCACCCAGCAGAGCTATCAGCAAACTGATGTTCAACATCACATCGTATACCGTATCCAGCTAGAATCAAGAATAAAACCTTATTATTAATCCCGACATGAGGTGCTCGATGACGCAATAGTTACCGCGATCGGGTTGCGATTGTGGAAGTTAAGCATCTAAGGTTAGTCATAGGTTGGGTGACCAAAATAGAATTATCTTGATCTTCTTCCTGCTTTGCAAGGTACATCCTAATGGTACTGCTGCATCTGCAGGTGTTAGCACCCACCAAACCACATTGGGCCAAAGAGGTGGTTGCAACACAGTGAAACAATAACGTGAAATTGAAAATATTCCAAAACTAGTTAATTAAAGTTATTGAGCTTAAGTAACTCTTGTATGTTGTCTACGTCTTCTTTTTAGCAAACAAAAGTGACAGCATCATTTTAACTCCAAGTTTAATTTTAGTCTATGTTTTGTAATAAGGCAATAAAATTTCCTTAATGACTTACATTTTTTTTAAAAAGATTGAAATCTTTAGCAGACTTATTAACTTGGAACTGACAAATTATACAATAATATGAAAACTAAATACAAGATTGTTTATTTTGACAATAAAGGACATGGTTCAAATTTGTAGGGAGGGCGGTACTCCAAATTTTTATAACATGTAGTGCACTTAATAGTAAATTGTGTGACATAAAACTAGAATTAATTTTTTCTTAATATTTTTTTATATAATTATTGTAATTTAAAATTATGTAATTATTTTTTGGCCAATGGGAACTTTATTTATCTATTTTTTGTTGCCAAAGCACCAATATATTCTATACAATAGGTAATTAAAACAGTGATTATTATTCAGTTCATCTTATAATACATTATTAGGTAACTTCTGGGTATTTTATTTCAAGAAGAATCAACCACAAATTAGAATTTTTGGTTTTGGTATAAGTTCACTACAATTTCAGGAATATTCTGCGTTATTCACATTTGAAATAGTGATTGAGTTGACGTTTTAGGGCCATACCTCACCGAGATGCCATGGCGACGTCGCCAACTAGTTCTTTTTGAGATGTATTTAAAATTCAAAATTCAATATCGTTTATTCAGTCTAGGCTGTTACAAGCACTTGTGAATGTCGAAAAGCTACGCCATCGGTTCGCAAATCTACGGCGGGAGACCTTGTACTGAGAAGAACCGGCAAGAAACTCAGCAAGGGTTGCTTTTTCTCCCTGTTTTATTTCATACAGTGTCCTCCAATTGAAAGTTGACATCAAACTTGCAAACCGGCTACCTGGCGCCAGTTGTTTGCACGTGTTTGTATGTCGCCATGGCATCTTGGTGAGGTATGACCCTTATGCTGCCAAACACTAAAAATATGCCGTTACTTATTAAGCTTTAAAATGACTTATGTTTCGTCGCTGCCGGAAACAGACTACCACTTTTGACATGTCTCCTTTTAGGTAACGTTTAATTATTAATTTTAATGTATGAATTAGAAATAAATTTAGAAACAGAGTAGGAAAATTATGTTGAATGAGGTAGGTGCTGTTAATTATAATTAATGACTTATTTAAGCATTAATCACCATAACCACATTTAATGATAATAATGATGTATAGATAGAAAATCAGCCAAATTCTATTTGGATGTCCAATTTTTTAAAATTTATAATATCATACAATGACCTCGGGGCTCAAGAATCAGGTAACTACACAGTTTTTAAAATCAAAATATGGTTTGTGTGAATCAAAAACAGCATACTGTTTGTGTGAATCAATTTGAATGCAGATACAATAAATATGACATCAAATTAAACCAATTTCCTGTATAATTGGTTTAATATGCAGGAAATTAGTCTAATTTATTCAAGCAATTAATTTAAGCTAAATTAACAATAAGGACAAACAGTGAAGCTTCTTTCTTTTGTATTCTGTGCCTAGATAATAAAATCATGGATTTGTATATTTATATATAAACAATAGGTAACCACAACTTGGTTAACTCCAATTATTAAACAGAACTATTTCTGCCAGCTTTTAAATATCAGCAGTACAAATCAACTGCAAACTAGATAAGAATAGTCAAATAGAAAAATAGTAATAGAGAATAGAAAAAAAACTACTTAACCTTTATCAGACCAGTAGCTTGCCATTTGTCAATGAACGCGTAAAGTCCAACACCAATCAATAATCCACCAAATAACTGGAAAAACAAGAACAATGATTGTCAAAATTTTAACAAAATAATCATAAACCTGTTTATTTTAAAATTGTCAACTAAAGTAATAGTTTCAGTAGCTATATACCAGTATGACCAGAAAATACTATTTAGTAAGCTTGATTTCTATTATGGTAACTCTTAAAATAACTGTTTCATTTAGTCATTTAGAGATAATTATAAAAGTGATACCTATGTTGAAACTTTTACTTTTGTTAACTATAATATACAACTTGTAACATGTTAAAAAGTCACATGAGCTTTATTTGTTTGAAGAGAGAGATAGAAGGCCTCTGTTTAGGTTGTTTCACTGTTTTCGTCTAACGTAGATCGTGTTTGCTTGTCCATGCGTTTTTTTCTATTTCTTATGGCTTAACAAGGCTTCTCGACTGATTTTTTGCTTGCCTTTTAAAAGGAACAAAACGGAGGAAAATTTTAATGTCAATTCACTGTGCAATTTTCGAGTGGCGCAATGTTACACTCATAATCTTAGTTAATATTTAGATAATTCTTATGATTATCAATAATGTTTAATGGTGTTTTTCTTAATTGAAAAAGTGTTTTCCTTTAAATATTTCAGTAATATACATGTGGATTTTGTTTAAGTAGGACACATGAGTTTGCCGTGGAGATGGCTGTTGGCCTGTTTATTTAATTTCTTTATACAACAGTGAGAACCTTCATATTTTTTTGTACCATGTGCTAATCTGTGGACTGTTTATTTTCAGCCATAGGTTTTTTTATACTTTAGAAAATTTTATAATGGTCTATAAAATAATCCTTTGTCACTACATGGGAGCGAGGCTTCCATTCATACATTCAATGCAACAGATAACAAAGATGCAATGGGGACAGTAAGCGCATGTAAATATGTACTAATAAGGATATACATACTTCTGGTCTTCGATTATGTAAAATTCAGGTAAAGATTATAAATATAAGAGGATAATTAGGACCTAGCTTCTAAATTCAAGAAAATCTTTGGCAAATATTTGAATTCTTCAATATATAGACAACCCAAATTGAATTTGGATTTTGCTTCAACCCCCCTTGCGATTAATAGTTCAAGTTCTGGTGAGTCTATTTAGGTAGGTCTGGCGCCTGAGCACTTTTTTAATTTTATTTCAACCTAAAACATTTTTTGTCTTACCCTTTATTTTTTTATATGACTAAATGTCAGTTTCTTGACAATATCAATAGAACAAAGCAGCACTTTCATGAACATTTTTAATATAAATCTCTGAGTGAGGCTATTAAACTTATCAAATATACCAATTATGGTAATATTGCAATGCGGCCAATAAAAAATTATATGAGATTATATATTAGTGTATAGCTACCCACATGAGAAATGGTATGAATAATGGTAAAACTGTACTTCCAGGGCCCGGTGATACTTCAATTTTTTTTTGTAGAAAAAGTCTCTTTTAATAATTTTTTTCTGGCGCTTCGCCGGCCGCTGCCGCGGCACGCTCGCTTTGCTCGCTCGGCTTGCGCGTTATGGTCACAATACTAACCTAACCTAACCTAGTGTGAAGTATTACCTCAATTAATTTTATTATTGCAGTTTATCAAAGTTTAATATTATTTTAATTTTTAACTAACAAAGTTTAACAAAGTTAGCAAAAAAAAATTTTTTTTTCATTGTTTCAGAGCATTGATGAACAGACAAAAATTTTCCTCATCAAATTACAAAATCAAACCACACAATTGGTAAATACACAATTAACATTATCGCAAACGGAAACAGTCGTCTGCTCTGTGAAATTGTATCATTATGTAGACCGATAAAGGCATGGGAACATATGAATCATCATAACTATGCATTCCAGGGAACAATGAAAGCGATAAAATCAAAATAGGTGGCCACAATTACAGACAATATACATTAAAAGGAAAATCAGCTTTATAATTAAATATAATAATTGTAGAAAGCCATTCAACTTACCCAAAATATAAAATTAAGAACAAAAATCATATACTTCACGCAACCACTAACGTATGTGAAATTAGGACCTCTGCGGCGATGCATGGCGAATAAATTTTCATTTACTTTTTCTTTTAATTATTCTCAGCACAGTCACAATTTATTTTAACCATTGATTAATTTTTTAATCATTATATTATAGCTGAAACGATTAATTTGACGACTCGTTTCGTTTTCCTTCCTTCTTTCGTTCAGTGTTCGTACAAAACCACAGATTACTATTTATGTTAGGGATATTCGATATACATCGATCCATCGAAATCATCGATGTTTGCATTGAAAAACATCGAATCGATCCGATGTTTTGAAAAACTTTCAATATAATCGATGAATCGATATTTTAAAAAAACATCGAATTGGTAATAAAGTTTGATCAATAATATTCTCTTTGGTTTGACCTCAGTAAAAAAAAACTTAAGTTTGATCACTAAAATTTTACTGATTACTATTACGAAAGCATCATTATTCCGAATTCTCTGATATGGACCCGATGTTGGCAGCACTGCGCAAGAGTCAGTGCAGTGACAGTAAAAAATATCTACGAGTTTCTATGTTTATAAACATTTAATAACCTTTGGTTTTGTGAAACAAACTAAGATTGAAGTATATTTCTAATATTCTTTTGACAGACTTAACAAAAATTTTGCGGTTTATTTAGTGTTTTTCAATTTGATCTTTTGTAAAATATAATATAGATTTTTCTGTTACATGGCTTTTACTCGTATTTAATTTTACCTACTCATTATGAAAGGAGTTAATTCTATTATTTTATAAAAGATTAATATCTAAACTATAATAAAATTATAGATTAAGGTCTTTTCCTACACGTCAGTAGTAACATTTTTTACTATGAAACACGGAGCACCCCCACTAGAGTCCGCATACAAGGGCAAGCGCTTACGCCAAGCTTAAGTAGTATATTACCTATGCGTGAGGCACGCCTACAGACGTCGCGATACATCGTTTCATTCGGTAACCGAGCGTTGGTCGAACTGCTTCTCTCGTTTTCGTGTTAAAAAACTGTAAAAAATGCCGTACTGTGCAATTAAATTGTGTGGAAAGTCGAGTACAACTTCCAGTCTTCAAAAAAATGGTATTACTTTTCACTGGTTAGTTTAAATGCATTACAAAAAGACAAAAATACTGTTATATTAAATTGCTGTTAATGTATTTATTTTTTGGTGAACGCGTTGATGTCTTTTTACACTATCCCTTTCTCGCATGGGCTACATCATATATGCTATCTCGCTCTCACACCGGCACGTGTATTGCTAGTGACTCAGACGCAGCTCATGTCTCAACGCGTAAGTTTGTCGATAAGTTTGTCAGCTATGGAAATGGAAAAAATAAATAAAAACTATTTATTTCATCGTATACAATAATAGATGTCATAAGTTGTATACTTACCAATAGTTTTTATTTGATTGAAGACAAACATATCCTAATAAAATTTTATGTTGCTTACATATTAAATTATATGTAGTTACTAGTCGCGTCATGTAATTAGAACGCTGTAAGAAAGTGGAGAGGGTATGATTACGCATTTGCGCACCAAAGTACTAGGCCTCTATTCTAAATTGTTTATCGATAGAAAATATCGATATTTTCTAAAATCGATCTTACCCTCATCACTTCGCTGCACTGAGTATATGATCTGACCTTGACGCGTCCAATCACAGCGGGGCTGACCTCCCTGCACCCCACCGACTTTGGCGATTTTGATTCCAAACAAAATTTGTGTGATGCGGACTCTAGTGGGGGTGCTCCATGCTGTGAAAAGATGGGCTCTTTTGATATGTGTCACTTTCCGCATAAGTTGAGTTTTGTGATAAAATTTCAGAAAAATTACTCGATGTTTAAAGTACATCGATGTTTTCATCCAATACATCGAAAGACATCGATGTATAGTTGCGATGTATCGATCAAAAATTACATCGATGTTTTTTCAGAGTGGACACCCCTAATTTATGTAGCAAGCTATACAAAACTCGTACAAACAGTGTTGCCAACTCGGATTTTGAAAAAGACGTAGGCCCGATGAGAAAATTACGTAGAATTGGTAAATTTTGCATATGAAAAGTAAGCAGATCTACGTACTTTTTTCTGAGTGAAATGAAGAAGTTATTTGAAACCGAAAAAAACGAGTATTTTGTTGTACAATTTGTTTAAGAACGGGAGATAGAACAAAGAGTTCTTGGAGAAGTCGCTGCATTGGAAGCATTTACCATGCTGTGGTAAACATTTACCATCAGACACAGACACTGGTGGGTGCCGATTCTGGATGGTTCTCTAAATTTAAAACTTAATTTAACATCTGTCTCTCCTTTTCATTCTGTATAGAGAATGACAAGGATAAACTGTTGTTAAATGGGCTAGTTGACACTTTTTGGAATTATGTTTTAAATTTTTAATAATTGTTCTATCAGACAGAAAAAAAAAATCTTTTTTACCTAGAAGACATACGTAAATGCTCTTTATAAAGATATTATAAATAGCTCGTTAGCAGTTGTGCCGTTTCCCCATAGCATTATTCCGTACCTTAGCCATGAATACGCATATGCATAATATGCAGATAACGCCGTGTCTGTATTTGTACATTGTTTTAATTGATAAAGAGCATATGTGAACTTAGCAAGCTTACATTTAATGGATTCTACGTGGGACTTCCAATTTAAGTGCGTGTCAATGGTCATACCGAGCAAATTAAACGATTCTACAGTTTCGAGATCTGCGTTTCGATAATTATACTGTTTCTGAAGCAATATACTGTACGACACCCTATCGTATGCCTTTTTCATATCAAGTAACAAACCTATAGAATATGCTTTATCATTGACATGTTGAATGGCCATTTAAATGAATTTAAACACTGAGGTAGTGGTGGATTTAGATTTTCGGGAACCATTTTGGCAATAATCCAATATCTTTTGCTTTTCAAAAAAATTGTTTAAGCGAATGAGCATTGCTTTTTCATAGACCTTGGAGAAGGCGGGTAATAGGGCTATTGGCCTATAATAGGCTAGTTTACTCATGTCGAATTGTATTAAATAAATGTTTATTTCTTAAAGTGTTTAGTCTAAGGAACCTTAATATATCGATTTCACTTCATAAAAGCAGAAGATTGCTGTAGAAATTTAATTTTAAAAAATATTTTTTAGTCTATATTTTTTAAACACTAAAAACGCTGTTCGCCACATCTGCCATGATTTTGACGTCTCTTGTGGTAAACAACTAAATGTCATTCGCGTGTTACTGTAGGTGGATTTTTTCGTCTGACTAAATTTATCTTAAAACACTTTTAACTTTAGGAAAGAAAAAAACAGTAAACTTAGTTTTTTTTGACTAAACTAATTACGGCTTTGTGAAAGCAGAAAGCACAAATCTGCCAAGAATTGACGCATTGATGGTTGGTGAATTTGTTGCACTAAACTCTGATTTCTGCTCTGCGGAGCAGAGAAACGACAAGGCATCTATGTAAGTACAGTGCATTTAGTATTACAATGTAGTAATAAACATAAAACTGATACAACATATGAATAAGTGTAATAAAGTTGCGTAGGTTAATTTCTTTCCGCACTTTAATCCACAACTTTCCTGGAGTCTTCAAGGATGTGTTTTTATATTCTCGTACAATACAGTAATGATAATTACTTTATTTTTCGTGGTATTTATTAGAAATCATGTTTTTTTTTATTATAAACTCAGTTATAAGTAATTTTCTACGTGTTTACGAGTTTTTGTTTACCACAGTTCACGTCATAGCATAGATAATCTATAGACTAAAATGGCCGACAGCGTTTTTGTATGTCCATGAAAAGTCTATTTTAAAATTAAAGATTTGTAACTTTCTAGGTTTAAAAAAAATACAATACTTTTTTTTCGGTCTAATAGAACATTTATTAACCATTTAAAACCTTTTCCCAAAAAGGGTCAACTAGCCTATTGTTAAGGTTGGTTTTGTCTCCTTTTTTGTAAAGAGGTTTTACAATTGACATTTTTAATTGGTCAGGAAAGGAGCCAACGGCAAAGCTTTGATTTATTAAAAAACTCAATGGTGACGAAAGTGTTTCTGCGCATTGTTTAATCAATACAGGGGGTATGCCATCCATGCCACAGCTATATTTGTTTTTCATTGATTTTATTATTTTATTAATTTCTTTGCTATCTACTGGACTTAGATAAATAGAATTTATTGTCGAGCAAGCTGTTGGCAATGTATTTAAATTATTAAAAGCATTAGATACGTTTTCGCCTATACTCGTAAAATATTTATTAAATAGATTACATATGGTTTTTGGACATACTATTTTTTTATCTTTTATTTTTAGGGTTATGTTTTTATGTCTATTATATTTAGTTTTACCGGTTTTATTATTTATAATTTTCCACATAGTTTTTGTTTTATTTTCTGAATTTGACATTTATGATATAAACTGTTTCTTTTTTGATATTTGAATACTACGTTTTAGAGTTTTTGAATATAGTTTGTAATATTTTCTTATAACGTTACTATTAGTTTCATTCAAAACTATTCTTAATATTCTTTTATGTTTACAAGATATTTTTATGCTTGGTGTAAGCCATCCTTTCATGAATTTATTTTTAATAAATATAATTTGTTCTGGAATGTTCTCATTTAATAATGAAATTATTATATTAATAAAAGACTCGTAATTTTCATTTTACTGTTTTTGTATTTTTTAAGTATATGTCCAAGGACGTATAAAAAAAGGCGGACAGAATTTCGGCTAAGACAAAAGTGAGGCACCGTAATGGCGGCGGTTATCTATGAGTGAGTGAATGCAGGGTTGCTAGGTTAGCCAATTTTTTACCAATAAAACACAGTAAAAAGATCAAAATATTTTAATTGTTCAAAATTTTACCCGACTGCGGTGGATAATGTTTTTCGAGCGTGTATGCATGTATGTATGCCCAATAATAAGGCGCCAAAATGAAACCTTTAGAAAAAAAATGCTTATAACCCGTCAAGCGAGGTATCAAAGTAAAGGGTCTTAAAAGAATGCAGTGGATCCCCGGTAGTCCGACAAACATTTTGCAGGGCAGTGTCGAACTATCGAATTTGTCGGATTATAGAGTACTGCCTAAGACCCCCTATAGTCCGAATTTTTTTACAAAAGAGTACCTTGTAATCCGACAAATTACAGATCCAATGATAAGATTACAAAACATACTTTGTTATGTATGTCAAATTGAGTAAATTAAACA